CTTGGGTGTGATGAGAGGAATGTACGTGGCAGCCAGACCTCCCACTGTCCCTGCCTATAAACTCACAGGGGCTTGGGGGTATGGCTGCCGGTGGAAGTCCAGCAAGTTCCGGTCTGCAGAATGGCTCTGAATGACCCACCGCCACAGGCATTGTGCTGGCAGAGGTTGAGTCCTTTTTCCTGGGGACAGCAATTCTGACCAGCATCTGGTCAAACCAGGAATGGCTAATTAAGGCCGGGTACATTTTATGCCACTGGCCTGTGTAAATGTTTTGGCACACGTTCTCCTGAGGCCCACAAAGCTGGTGCAGGCTCAAGTTATTGATTTCTTGGGGGTAAGGGAGAAGCAAAGGGCAAGGAACATGTGCTCCTGGAGCAGGACTTTCAAGGAAGCAGGACCTGGTGTGCAACTGAAGGAGGGGGGAACGGTCTAAGGAAGAAAAATGCCTACCCCTTGGGGGTTCAAGACAGACAGTATGAAGTAGGAGGAAGAGGCTATTGACCTCAACGTCCAATGAATCTCCGCCAGCGAGAGCACAAGACACCTCTCTCCCGCCAGGCAGCACTGGTTTCATGGAAGGGCAGGTTTCAGAGGACCCTCCCTCCCTTCTTGGCCTGGCAAGAGCTTCCCTACCTTATTTGTAACAGCAGCATCATGATTCCTGTAAGGAAGGAACAGAGAGAGATGCACAACAGTACTCACACTGGTTCAAGGGTGGGGGATGGATACACGTTTACCCTTTCCAGGACATTTAGGAATGACTCACCCAAGGTCACTTAACTTATCCTTAGCAAATCTATGAGTAACGTGCAAAGGGACTTCTCTGAACCGTCCAGCACAACCCCTTCCCTCAAAAGCAGCACACGGGCTCCCCAGGGTGGAATCACCTTTCTGTCTCCCTACTCAGAACCATTCTGAGTCTGCCTTGGCCTACATGGCCTCTCACCCAAGGCTGCCAGGTCCGATGAAGGAAAGCATGGGCGCCGCAGTCCAGCCTGCTCAGATCCATCGTCCACCTCTAAGTCAATCAGGGTACAGTTTTTCATGGCAGCTGTTGGATTCTGAAAGACTTAGAAAACATACACGGTTAGAAAAATAAGTAAGATACTAGAGCAAAAGTCTCCCCTTAAATCCTATCAGCTTCTCTCAGGCCTCCTCCTAATCAAAAGATAACACCCTGTCCCAAGAACCTCTCACCTCAGCAGCATGTCTGACACACAGCCTGAGCTGGCATCTGGACCATGAGGTAGTCAGCGGGACTGCCTTCCCACCCTACAGATCACAGAGTCTTCTCTAAAGGTCCTTCACCTGGACAGGAACAGACTTGAACTTTTCCAGCTCAGGGCCTTTGAAGTTTCTGACCACAGCGCGTCAGAATCTCCATACAGCCTGATAAACAGATACCCAGGCCTAGTTCCAGCGGTCTTGATTCACAAGGGTCAAACAGGGACCTCAGGGTCTGCAATTTAACCAGTATTCCGGGTGATTCTGACGCAGCTAGCCTGGCACCAGGAACCACTGAGGAAAACCATTTCTTTGGTCCGTAAGTAAGCACTCATGAGAATGCAAACCCAGGCACAACTCACCATCTGCTTCCGTGTGTGCCAAAAGCTAGAGTCCGCCTGGTCATCTCATCAGCGTGCGATGGCTACTGTGGCATAGTCAGGCTACATGAAATCTGTTTTCACAGGAAAGGGATAAGAGGGCAAGTTCTCTCATTTCTATGCTACAATCCAGAATATTCTGAGGACCTATGTCTTTTCTGGGATTTGCAGGCTGCCCCAAGGCAGAAGATAGGGAGAGGCTTTCAAATATACCTCTGGAGACGGGATGTCTCCCACTGAGCTGGTCACTGTGTTTCCAAAGGTCACACGGCCCTCCATCACCTGTTTGTACAGCAGAACTCCTTGGGTGAGGAGATCATTTGCCTGGAGAATCTCGGCTAAAGAATGAGAGAAAAATCAGAACCCCCTGGTTTAACTACCAACAATCTCAACAACCTAAGCCATTCTGCAGAGCAGCCTACACATGGCCTGACTAGGTTCAGGTTATCTGTGCCTCCTGCTCCAAGATCATGTAATCAGGCCTAGTCACTTAACCTCTGAGCCCTAATACTCTTAGTTCTGAATGTAGAAGGAAGCTAATTTTTTCCTTCTATGTCTGCGCTGTCCAACATAATGGCTGGCAGTAAGCACTCTAAATATAGCTCTTTCAATGAGGAACTAAAACTTTTATGTCTCTTTTATTATCTGTAGAGACAAGGTCTTGCTATGTTTCCCAAGCTGGTCTCAAACTCCTGGCCTCAAGTGATCCTCCCACCTCAGCTTCCCAGAGTGCTGGGATTATAGGCATGAGCCACTGCACCTGGCCTTTTATTTTTAATTAATTTTAAATTAAAACCTGATGCTGTTTTGTCAAAGTGGATGCAAATATTGAAAGAATTTCTTAGTACTTGATTCAGTTATTGGAAAGCTTTTAAGTATGTAGGTAACAATTTGGCATAAGAATCTACTTTTTAACCTATAATTTTTAAAAATATTAAATACTGATCAAGTATTTCTCACAAAATTTTGGCATCCAAACTGAAACATGCCAAAGTATAAAATAGGGCCAGGCATGGTGGCTCATGCTGTAATCCTGGAACTCTGGGAGGCCAATGAGGGAAGATCACTTGAGACCAGGAGTTTCAGGCCAGCCTGAACAATATAGGGAGACCCTGTCTCTACAAAAAAATGGAAAAATAGCCAGGCGTGGGGGCAGGCACCTGTAGTCCTAGCTACTCGGGAAGCTGAGGCAGGAGGATCATTTGAGTCCAGAAATTTGAAGGTACAGTGAACTATAATGATGCCACTGCACTCTAGCCTGGGCAATAGAGCAAGACCCTGTCTCAAAAACAAACAAACAAACCCAACAAAAATCATAAATACACACTGGATTTCAAAAACTACATGAGCATCTATGGTCTGGTTAACCTGCAGACAACTCTTTCCTAGGAGAGACAAAATAGCAACATGGCTGGGGTGATGTATAACGAACACTGCAGGCCAAAGTGCTGGAAGATTGCTTCTTAGGGGTGACCAACTGCTTATTTCCTGCCAATTTTTTGACTGTGGACAAAGATTGCAAACTGGCAAGATGGGGTTGAATTTAATGTAAAGTATTTCATTTGGCATGTGCAAGCGGTTTAAAAACTTCAATTTGACTACCTCTGACCTCACTGCAATCACTGAGAATATAATGAGGTTAGAGAATAATTATATCACAAAAAACAATCAGATACCATGGACCTCCTAAACAACTATTCTATGATGTATTCTTGACCACCCCCCCAACTGAACCCAAAATGATCAAGGCCCCAATCCAATTGGCTATAAAAAGAAATATCAGAAACAGAAACATTAAACATCGACATGGGGTATGCAATGAGCAAAACAGACCAATAGAACTCTACAAGGCAAAGTAGAGTTTGCCTTGTCACACTCTACCTTTCATGTGAGATAGAGATGGAGGGGAGGTCAGGCGTGTGCTATCCATTAAAAGACTGAAGAAATATCAAGCAATTATAAACTGTGGCTTCTGAGTCTGATTTATAACTGTTTTATGTTTGTTAGTCTTTTTTTACAAAGTTATCTAGAGATGATTAAGGAGAGAAATGATTAGGGAAATTTGAAAACTGGCTGAATATCTGGTTATTTTGACATGTCTAGAATTTTCTCCAAAACAGACTAGGGTATGGCTGGGTACAAGAGACAGGTATAGATGAAGTAAGATCCAAAGATCAGCCAGTTACAAAAAAAAAAAAAGAAAGAAAAAGAAAAATCTACCATAACTGGTAATTAATAAAGACAAGTGAAGAATACATAGGATTTATCCTACTATTCCCCTCTTTTGTTTTGAGATTTTCCATAATAAGAAGTTTTAAAATTGTTTTAGTACCTATGGACACTCCACCGCCCCTACAATATCCCACCGGCCTGGATCATTTAGTTGACCTATCTGGCCCTTGAAGTACACAAGTTGGTGATCCCTTCAGGATGCTCCCCTCCGCCACAGCTGTCTCTCTGACCTCTGTGGGATCAATCACTCAGCCTTCCATCAAGCCTCCAGCAGGATTTTCTTCTACCTTTCTAACACCCAATCTCCATAGTAAATTTCCACCGCTTTCTACGCTTCAGATCTGCTGCTGATTTCTTATGCAAGCCTAGAATCTTCTTGAAATCAGTTCTAAAGCAACTCAGGCCATGCCCTTCCCAAACCCAATCGCTACAGAACCTAACGTCCACTCTGTCTTGATCCTGGTGCCAGAGCAGCACGACAGAAGGACCATGTCTATTTTGCACTTGGGGTGCTAGCTATGCCTAGGGAAATAAAACTCTTACCAAGAGCATCGTCATCATCAGTGGTGTCACTTGCCAGCCGGAAAAGGGTAGGCCGCAGCTTTTCACACCTTTCATACACGACCTGGAAAAACAGAGCTTGGTCACCTAGGCCCACACACAAGGCCCCGGGTGGCTCTGATCAAGCATGCGGCAGAGTCTGTGGCTTCAGAAGCCCTCCTCGGTCTGTGCTGAATTCATGACTGCAGACGTGAAGTAACACAGGAGTTAAGAGCCTGGGGAAAAGTTTGAGCTACAAGCGTAAGATTCTCTTCAAAATAGAAGAAGTTAAAAAAATGACAAAAGACCTTAGCCCAGAAAAAACTCACTGTCCCTATGTACACATCTCTCTTCCTCAGGCTCTTCGCCTCTGCCCGTAGCTGGATGGCACCAACAACAGGGTGACTTCTGCTTTGTGACTAACATCTAAGCCGCCCATCCTCACTGCTGCCCAATGCCAGCATTCCCTTTGGAACATTCCCACGATGCCACCCACAGGGTCCCCCAGAGCCAAACCTCATTCTCCTCAACAACATCTGCGAAGTCCCATTTTCCGCATCCCAAGGACAATGCTCTGTTTCTTCAAATGTTAACTACACACTTAGCAGATGACCTAGCAATCTCAAAACCAGACATTCACACAAAATCCCGCACACAATTGTTTATGGCAGCTTAATTCATACCCAAAGCTGGAAACAAGTGAAATGTCCACCATCAGATAAATGAATATATATATATATACTGTGCTACACACATACAGTGAAATACTACTTGGCAATAAAAAGAAAACTATTAATAGAGCAACAGGAATGGATCTCAATGCTGAGAGAAACCAGACAAAAATAAAGACCATTCATACAAGTCTATGAGCTGTAAACTAATCAGAACAGAAAGCAATCAGCAGTTGCTTGGCCATGGGGAGACAGGGAGGAGAGGAAGGGATGACAAAGGGACATGAAGTTTTGGGAGGTGACAAGATATATTTACTATCTTGATCTTGATGATATTTCATGGAAATACACAAGTCAAAACACACCAAACACTGTGAATAAACGTGTGCAGTTTCCTGTCAGCCCTGAAGGATCACCTGCAGGGCCTCCTGGTCTGGGGGAGCCTGCCCCGGCCTCTGGTACGTGCTCAGCATCTCCTGCAGCACCTTCACGTGGCTTCGCACTTCCTCCACGGCGCTCACTCTCCTAGACACCTTCTCTGACTTTTCTTGTTCCTGTAGGGAGAAAAAGGAGGATGGAAGTGAGGGAGCAGAAACCCTGGAGGAAGCCTGAATAAGGGATGAGAAAGGATCACTAGTGAAAGCTCAGGGGAGTCTAAGTGAAAGTGAGTGCTCACTCCTTGAGTGAAGAAAATACTAAATACTCAAAACTCAGAATTCCTAGGGAAGATAATACACTCTGGGGCCTGGTGACCTACTCCATTGTACCACCAGGCTCAAATCCCTCTGAAAAACAGATTCCTAAGCCTGGACTTTGTCCACACCAATACCTGTCCTGGGGACAGAAGCTAGTAGCTAAAAATAGCTTTGAGAACCATGGATGAGAGAAGCTGCTAGGAAGGATGGTAGCAGGATTTCTGCCTGTTTTTTTTCCTTCACATCTACTGGAGGATTTCTGCTTCTTATCTCCACCTTGCTGCCCTTCAGGGAGCTATGGCTGTTCCCCAGAGTTCAGGGACAGGCGGCCGTTCCCGGGCAACTGTTCATTCACCCTCTCAAGCACATACACATATACACTGTTCTTGTCAAATCCTTGTTCTAGTGAGCCAATTGGAAAAATGCCCACCTCCTTGACCAAATTCTTGATCAGCCGGTTTGCAGCCTGAAGATCCTCAGGGTGGTTGCTCTTCAGAAGCCTTGTCAGAAGCTGGAGAGTGAACAAAAGGAGTAGGTGAAACCATAACTCCCTTAGGCCCAGGGAGGAAGCAGCAGCAATAGAAGAATTAACACTAACAGCTCACACATTTTATATGCATCATCTTACCAAATGGTCACAATGACACTGTGATTTGGGTACTGGGACTATCCCAGTAGACCACTGGTTTTTCAATGGGGTCGGGGTTGGGAGGATTATATCTCCCAAGGGATGCTGGTGAAGTCTGGAGATATTTGGTTGTCACAACTGGGGAGGGGATGCTACTGGCACATATTGGGTAGAGACCAGGCATGCTACAAACATCCTACAGAGCACAGGACAGCTGCCCCCCGACCCCACAGAATTATCTAGCCCAAAAGGTCTGTAGTGCAGAGGTTGCCTTGGACCAAGTGGATCTATGATGAGACAGACCTTGGTGATGTTTGTCACTTTGTTCCCAATGCCTAACGGAGTGCATCGCATACAGGAGTCACTCAATCTTTTTCAGATGGATGGCAGGAAAGATGGGGATAATGAGCCCCAGTGATGCAGGATTCTAACTCTCTCAGAAGTCACCCCACACTTCCTCCCTAGCTCCTCCCACCCTCTGCAAACACCAAGTAGGAGAAGAGCCAGAGAGAAAGGCAGCCAGAACCTAGACTAGCCTTGCCTGTTCTGACAACAGTGACCTAATGGCCGCTGATCATCTAGAACCAAGGGAAGGGCACAGGAGAGGGTGTAACTGGAAGGCAGAGCAGACCAAACAGAAGAGCATCTGTGGCATGGAGCTTTCCTGATACCATGCTCACCAGACCTTGTGACTGACCAAGAAGAGTAATGATCAAAAGTGATCTCTGATTCAGAGGTACCACAGTGTTACCCCGGGGTCTTGGGCTAGGTTCTGATCACCTTCCTGTTCTCTTCCTTCTCCTTACTAATGTTCCAAGGCCAACAATTCTGGGAGGCCACAGTGGAAAGAAAATGGGTGAGGTTAGGCTCACATGCCCACCACACCCCCACACTCCCCTTGGCTTGTCCTTTTGAACCTTCTTTCCCCCAGACATGCTTGTAGCACCGACAAGCGGGAGGGCACAAAGAACACAGCATTTATTATCTGGCCCATCTGTGCAGACCATACCCAAACCTTCTGCTTCTTTACTCCTAAGGGCCTCTAGGCAGAGAATTCACTAACTCACCTCCTCACATGCTCCCCTCTGGTTCAGGGATCAGAGGAGATCCCAGGCACTCCAAGGAGAGTCCCTAAGAGAAAAGGTCTGGACACACTCCATGTAGGCCACTGAGGTCAGGGAGGAGTTCCTTACCTTTGATTTTTCTTCATCAGCATCAAAGATCGAGCTCTTGGGCCAGGGAGAAGGCGGGGGTAAGATTTTATCCACTGGTAGCTTAGGGTCTTGTTTTATAATGCCTATAACATGCAGTTCACAAAGTTAATACACTGATATGGACACTTAGTGATTTTAGCTGGAATCCAAAATAAAGTCCAGAAACCACCAGTTCCTGATACCCTAAGAGGAAAACATTGTCAACGGCCTTAAAAGAATATACCAAATACAAGGCACCCAAGTAAAAATTTTAAAAATTAAATAAAGAATACATCAGGGTATAAATGAGGCTCTGCATCACCTCTCAGGAGGATCCAAGGAACCACCATGAAGTCAGGGGCATGAGAGCCAGCCATGTCAAAAGAACCAGTCTCTAAGGCCTATAAGTCTGTGGGCCTTACACTAGCTATAAAAATACCGATCATTTTATGCAGCTACATAACTTCCCAGGGCCCAGAAATTACTGTGGTATCCCCGATGAAGCTTCTAAAAATGTTAAGTGAGTGCACATAGACAGAACAATAGTCCATCCTGAACCTGGGTTCCTTCTTCTGAAGAGCCCAATATAAAAGGATTCAGACTCTCATCCTCCAGACATGACGCACAAAAGTGGGATAGCATCACCCCCACTGTGACAACAACAAAACACTGGACAACATGCAAATTCACAACTTTCCCGAATCCTTTGGAGAGCTGAGATCACAGGGAAACAACCAATTAACCTGAAATCTAAGAAAAACAATGCCCCCCCCCAGACAGACAAGAGGCAATGCCAATGAAAATAACCCAGCTGAAACTGCTTAAAAATCGTTTACAGGTGTAAACGATTGCTAGTGTAAGCTAGCAAGAGAATGTAGAACTTCTGGAGGTTGCAATACATAGAAAATAAGCTCTTCTCCAGGGGCCTCACCAGGGGCTAACAAAAAGAGTAGGAAGGTATGAGGTTCCACCTAAATCCTTCTCTCTCTACAGAACAAAAGTCTTAAACTACTGCGGGAAGGGCAACAAACCCGGTAGTCCTTATAGCAGTGGTGGACACTCACTGCAGCTGGAGAAAGAGTTTGGAAGAATGGAGGAAGGAATTATGTCCTGAATGCAGACCTATGCTGGGGTAGGGCAGGATCACAACTAGATCCTATCAAGACTCAGAGACACGGTGTCTGCCTAAGGCTAAGGCTTAATAGGAACCCTGACCCTACCACCCCTGAATAACAAGTGACAGCTGTCTACTGAGAAGCAGCAACAGCAGGGAGAAAGACCCTCACTGAGAGGAAGACCTACAGCTGAGCAGAGCAGATACCAAGGAAAATTCTGGCAAATCAGCCACCAACCTAAACATGAGCTAACACTATAAAAATCTGAAGTCTAATATAGTGAGGATAACTACAACAACAAATCTCAAACCCAGCTCAAATCTTGCCTACCAGAAGGAAAGGTCCACCATTCCCAGAAATAAAAACTATTTACTTCACTGATAAATATGCTAATTAACCTGATTTGATCATTACACGTTGTATATAAGTGTATTAAAATATCACACTGTGCCCCATAAATATGTATAATTATGTGTGTTAATTAAAAATAATAAGGCTGTGTGCAGTGGCTCATGCCTATAATCCCAGTGCTTTGGAAGGCTGAGGTGGGAGAATCACTTGAGCCCAGGAGTTGGTGGTTGCAGTGAGCTATGATGGTGCTACTACACTCCAGTCTGGGTGACAGAGTGAAACTCTGTCTCTAAAAAAAAAACACAAAAACAAATCCATTATATGGTTATTGAAAGATCTTTTGTAACTATAAGGTATTATAAGCCTGCAAGTTATTACTTGTATCAGAATAGTATTTTTCAAACTCTGGCTAAGAGGTAATATTTATCTGTACTTCATGGAAAAATTCTATTACTTCAAAGAAAGAGGTTGATTCTTATGCATCCAAAAATTTTTAAAAATAAAAATAAATGTTTTAATTTAGTGACATAGTTTGTATTTTGACCTTTGTTGTGCTGGTGGTTTCTGGCAGACAGGGAAAAGCAAACCTATATGTCTTCTTCCTAGAAGATCTGCACTCACTGTGACTTTTAAAGTAAATAAAAGCCATATTGTGTTTTAAAAAAAACACCTAAAAACAAAAAAACTAACAACAACAAAAAAAACCCACCTCACTCTCTACTGTCCCACACAAGAAGCCCAGCTTTCAACAAAAAATGATAAGGCACACAAAAAAGCAAGAAGAAACAAGACACTGTCAAATGGGAATACAACAAAAGTAAAGGAAGTCAGACCTTGTTTCTTTAGCATCTGATAGGCATCTCGGATCTTGATGTCTTCTGGAAACCAGACTGTCCAACTAAAGAGTATTTCAATGACTCTTCCTTTAACTTTTTCTGTGGCCCAGGACCCCAGGTACTGAAAGTAAAAAGGAAAGAATTCTAGAGCTGGAAGGGACTTAGGAGACCACTTAGCCAATACTTCCAGTAGCCAGAGGGCTACTGAGGCCCAGGCAACAAGCTGCGCAAGGCTGGTTGAGAGGGAGGCACAACTACAGGCCAAATTATCTGGCACCCCATCCCAGAGCCCTTCCTGGGTTTCAAGAAATCAACCTCCAGGCCGGGCATGGTGGCTCACACCTGTAATCCTAGCACTCTAGGAGGCCAAGGCGGGCGGATTGCTCGAGGTCAGGAGTTCGAAACCAGCCTGAGCAAGAGCAAGACCCCGTCTCTACTATAAATAGAAAGAAATTAATTGGCCAACTAATATATATATAAAATTAGCCAGGCATGGTGGTGCATGCCTGTAGTCCCAGCTACTCGGGAGGCTGAGGCAGTAGGATTGCTTGAGCCCAGGAGTCTGAGGTTGCTGTGAGCTAGGCTGACGCCACAGCACTCACTCTAGCCTGGGCAACAAAGCAAGACTCTGTCTCAAAAAAAAAAAAAAAAGAAATCAACCTCCAAAACTGCTAAAATTAAAGACCTCCATATACAGGCCTAGTTCAGATTCTTGTCCACATCACTGGGGACATTCATTTTTCGACTGGGGCAAGTACGGAATAAAAAAAAATTGGTCTTTGTCCCAGTTCCTGGCACAGAGCTTCGAAGCCCTTGTAATTTCCTGAGTCACAGGAGGGTCTTATTGTTCACAAGCCCCTTTAGACCACATCTGAGTTTCCAATAATGACTATGGTGGCTGCTTAGTTTCAAGGGAGAGGCTGGTCACTCCAAAGAGATCAACCATGTGATTAGAGGGTTGGAACATTCAGCTTTATCCCCTGACCCCAGGATTGTGTGAACCGGCCAATATTTTATCAATCATGCCTGGGTGATGAAACGCCAGATTAAAAACTCTGACACCAGGAGGTTCAGAGAACTTCCTGGTTGGTGAGCACACTGACATGACTGGAGGTGGCAAGCTCAGATTCCATGAGAAGGCACAAAAGCTCTGTGTTCCCTTTCCGCATCAATAAGATCTTACCCTATGTATGCTTCCATTTGTATCCTTTACAATACAACAAGAATAGAAATATAGTGCTTTCCTGTGTTCTGTGAGATGTTCTATTGAATTATGGAACCTGGGAAGAAGAGGTCAAGGGAATCCCTGAATTTGTAGTCAGCAGTGCAGAAGTGCAGTAGCTTGAGGACATACAAGACTCATGGCTGGTGTCTGGGCACCCTAAGTAGGACTGAGCTCTCAATATGCAAGGGCTAGGTAACTCATAATTCTGGGTAGTGTCGGAATTGAATTTAATCATAGAACGCACATTAGACACCAGAGAACCGCTGTTGGAATGCAGCGAGGCAGGGCTCGATCAATGCTGGTTACCCCAGAGTGGCGTAGCTAAAACAGGTGCCAGGAGGAAAGGTACAGAGCACAAGATGTGATGTAAAACTTCAAGTCACATCTGGCACTGTTTCTAACAGGAAAATTGTGCTTCTAAACTAGAGCTCCTCACCTCCTCGAGGCCACACATCCCCCAGGCCATCTTAAAGGGGAAATTTGAAAATGCTAACACAATGGAAGAGCAGAGGTCAGCTGATGAGCACCACTGTCTCCCTAGAGCTCAGAGAAGAGAGTGCTTTCACGCACAGAACCTTGTCTCACAAGCCAGACAGGTGAGTGGGTTCCGTCCACACATAGGCCTGCTTCTGGCCTGAGAAGGGTGACAGGAGTTTGAAAGATGGGCATAAGCATGGCAAAGAACGCAGGACCAAACCCAGGTATTCACCTTTGGAGACAACACTTTGATCAGCTCATTCAGGAAGCGAAACTTGGCCACCTCGCTGTGGAACTTCTCTCCACAGTGGTTCATACACATCTCCAGCACCTGCACAGACACAGGACCCCGTGAGAAGGTGGAAAGCCAGTGGCTCCAGGGCTCTCCTTAAAGCTGATGACCATCTTCTGGTGACTCCACTGGAACCACAGCTAACCCTTCCTCAAGCCTATGACACAAGTTTTGGTGAAAGAGAACACTTTCAGATCAAGAAAAAATATCACCTGTTCAATCTTGCTTTAACTGCCAGGTTTATGCCCAGGAAATAGCTCAGTGGGGTCTATCATACCCTGACGTCATCCCACCTTTTAAGGAGACCCTTTGGGAGATAAAACTGATTGGAGAACCAGCCCTTCCCCAGAGGCAGAAATCTGCTACCCAGTGCCCAAGAACTATTCAACCAGAGGTCACCCACTGGCACTCAACAGGTAAATTGGGCCTGCACATGCTTCCTTTGGTCCACACTGTGGTTTTCACCATTTCGAGTTAATCACCAACATTTAAACTTTCAGAGAAAATAAATACAAAAATCTAGACTTTCAGTTTCTCTTCAAAAAACAGGAAGTTCTAGCAACTGCAGTCCCAAACTCACGCCTGGCAACCACCGGCTGGTTCTGTGCTGCAGCTGCCCTCTTTAGACGGGCACATGCTCTCCAGCTTTTTGGTCCTCACCCAGCAGCGTCACTCATTTACGTTACCTGTCTGGCCCTGCGGACACTGGAACTTGCCAGCCTAAGAAGCGCAAATGGAAATAAAACCTTCTTCTCCTTCTCCCATGGCAAGCTCAAAAACAGGTCTAAGATGCAGAATCTGGCCCACAGCTCTGCCCTCCAGCCTGCTATTCAAGGCCTGTGAAGGTGAACCACTCAGGTGCTCTCCCCACCCCAACAAAAAGGACTAGGGAGGAGGTAAAGTCCCTCTCGGCACTCTCTCTAGCATCAGGACAGAAAAGCGTAGGCTAAAAGGGCAAGCCAAACTCACCGTTAAGGCATAAAGGGCTTCTTTCTCTTGCGGAGACTGGATCTTGTGGGCCAGTAGCCAGGGCGCATGTGTGGGGCTAAGGGAAAACAAAAAGACCTGGACTCTGGGCGGGCAGGAAAAACTATCCGGTATGCTTGGTAAAGTCACCTCTCTTCAAGGAGCTGGTGTCCCAAAGCACAGGTGGAGTGTGACTGACACAAAGCCCACACATGGGCTCCTAACAACAGGGGCCAACTCCTACCCTCCCTGTTGTACCCGCAGTACCCAAATGATTGGCCAACCACTGCATAGCAAAAAATGAATCATTCATTCATTCAGTAGATAAATGCCAGCAACAAGGCATTGTCAAGGAGAAACCCAAGGTCCTCCTCCAGCCCAGACCATGTCAACCTCACTCCCCCCCCCTCACGAAAGCAAGCTCCCAGCCCCCAAACTCTAAGCTGGGCAGTCCAGTCCTAGACATATGTGTAGCTAGGTCCTGAGCAGCACAGGCCCCGCCTGTGTGTGATAAATGCTCAATAAACCCAAGTGTAGAAAGTGGGATCAAACTTTGAGCTCAATTCAAAACAGCTGAATATTTGGTACCACGTAGATTAAACATCTGGAAGACTGACTTGATTCTTTAGTTCCTGTCCAGGTGCTTTGGGAACAGAATTCAATAAAACCTTACCCTTTTCCTTTTTCTTAAGAAAGATTACATATCAATGATAGAGAATACGTGGATCTCTTTCAATTATGTAACCTGGCTACATTCTATCAGTAACATTCAGGGTTCTCCTCTGCATTAGTGTTTTATAATACTACTTACAATTTTAATAATTGCCAGTTGCAAATGGACTGTTCTGTGTTTTTAAAAACATGAATTCACTAATTTTAGAAAAATAACGTACTCAGTAGATGTGGGGAAAGACAACAGATTAAAAGAAGGCCTAGTGGGACGAGGTGGCCGAGTGGTTAAGGCGATGGACTGCTAAAAGAAGGCCTAACTGTAAAACAGTCCAGAAAGACAAAAGCCTATGCTCTGCCTGGGGTGCCCCCAGAGTTGTATGTGTGAAGTCACCTTACCCATTGGGGTCAGTGTTCACCTGCTCACAGAAATTCTGGATAGCTGACCAATCCTGTTCCGACACGCTTGGGTCTGTGGCTTTGTCTGTTAAGGAAATGAATAAAGTTAAAGAAAGCACAATAAGGCCGGGTATGGTGGCTCACACCTGTAATCCTAGCACTCTGGGAGGCTGAGGTGGGAGCATCACTTGATGCCAGGAGTTTGAGATCAGCCTGAGCGAGAGAACCCATCTCTACAAAAAACAAAAACAAAAACAAAAAAACAGAAAAATCAGCTGGGCATGGTTGTGCCCACCTGTAGCCCCAGATACTTGGGAGGCTGAGGCAGGAGGATTGCTTGAGCCCAGGAGTTTGAGGGTGCGGTGAACTATGATCATACCACTGCCCGGTAGCCTGGGAGACAGAGCGAGACCCTGTCTCAGGAGAAAAACACAAACAAAACCATGATAAAAATAAATTTACACCCCTCCTCATAAACATGGCAGCCAAGGCTGTATTATCACACCTCCACAGGATCAGACTAGCAGGCAGACAGCCGAAAGGGACCATCAAGCACAGTGTCAGGCACACAGTACGCCCTTACTGATTATTTGCTGACTAAATGAATAAGCAAATTAATTAGCAAGCCCTTTCCCTGAAAGTAGCTCCATTTCCAATGGAGAGGCCGGCCTGAGTGTATCTTCTTCATGCCACATGTCAGGACTCCCCCACTCAGGCCCTGCCAAGGAGGACAGGCATGAGCCAGCATCTCAGAGGCTACCTGGACATTTCCTAGCTATGTGACAGGAAGACAAGAACGTGTCACAGGAAGATTTTGTTCTGGCCTTTGGTGAAACTTCCCAACTCCCCACTGTCTAGCCCATCCTGGCCTGGCCAGCCTCTACTGGTTCTGACCGAGCAGCTCTTTCAGGCTCTGGAAATAAAAGGCTGATTCTCAGGGTTATTGCTGATGTTGTTATTCCTCTTGCCCAAATGTCCACTCCACACCTCTCAAAATCCTATCTATTCAAGACCCATCTGAATTTCCATCTCCTTCAGGAAACTTCCTCCCACTGTGCCAGCCCCTACTACTTCCCCTCCCTTCTGACTACTCAACACGCCATAGTCACCCTAGAGTGCACTCTTCCTGACCACAGTCACATTTATGTCATGTGGAAGTCATACGTCTCAGTGAGATTCAAAGGGCAAGTAATCACTCATCTTCCCACCTACTGACTCCATTCTAAGTGAAAAGAGAACAGGAAAAGGAATCAGATTATCAATTCCTATATTCCCCTCACTGCTCTACACAGCGTTCTCTCAATGTTCCATATCTCAAAATCCTATCAACCCTTGAGTACAAATTCAAAATACCACCCTTTCATAAAGACTTCTTTGATCTTTTTATCTCCTGCCCCCACAAAACAGAAGCCATTGATTGCTTCCTCTCCAGAACTGATATTTTATCCCCACCTTCTAATAGGGATCTCTAGCTCCACCCTTATTAGTTACCTGAACTACCTTATTAGGCCTTGAACTCTGAGCTTCAGTTTCCTCAACTATAAAATAAAAAGGTCAGCACAATGGCTCATGCTGTAATCCCAGCACTTTGGGAGGCTAAGGTGGGGACACTACTTGAGACCAGGAATTCGAGACCAGCCCGGGCAACACAGCAAGACCTCCATCTCCTAAAAAAAAATGTTTTTAATTAGTCAGGCACGATAGTCCCAGCTGCTCAGAAGGCTGAGGCAGTAGGATCACTTGAACCCATGAGTTTAAGGTTACAGTGAGCTGTGATTGTGCCACTGCACTCTAGCCTAAGTGACACAGAAAGACCCCATCTCTAAAAAAAAAAGATATACATACATAATGAGTGAGATGTGCACCATCTGGGGGATGGTCATGATGGAGACTCAGACTTTTGGGGGGAGGGGGGGAAATGGGCATTTATTGAAACCTTAAAATCTATACCCCCATAATATGCCGAAATAAAAAAAAAAAAAAAAAAGAGAGAGAAAATAGTACCCTCCTCATGGAATTGTCATGTGATTTAAAGGAGACAGTATCTAAAATGCTCAGCACAGTGGCATATAGTAAGTAGTCAGTAAAGGATAGCTAATTATTATTATGGTAATACAGTCGCTGCCTTTTACTATAAAATATGTATACATGCCTTATTGTACCTAAAGGGAATGAAACACTTGAAGACAGAAGCCATATATTCCCTACAGCTAGCACAATGTCTTACCCACAGGTACAAAATAGATACTCATCAAATAAATTATTTAAAGCAGTGATTCTCACAGATTCTGCCTCTGAATCACCTAAAGTAATTCTATACCATTTAAGCTTCAGCTTCAGTTCACTACAAGGTCAAGGTTGACACCTCAAAGTTATTCTGACCTCAACATGTGACTGGAACCGGAGGCAGAGGACAGGCAGGACCCAAGCCCACCGCACACAGAGTCTATACAACCTCTCCTCCTCCCCAGCTGCCAAGTGAAAAAGATGCAGCAATAGGCATCAGCTTTTTCAAAGAAAAAAACCTCTGAGGTTAAATTATGTTCCAAACCCTTAAGAAAGGCAAAGCAGGAAAAAGATCTATAAAATATAAGACAGTTTCTTCCATCCGCTAGATCTGGTATTCACTCAAGGTTTAACAAGGCCCAAAAGTAAAGTAACAGCTGCCATTTTTTTTTAATTTTAAATTTTTTTGAGACAGTCTCTCTCTGTTGCCTGGGCTAGACTGCCATGGTGTCAGCCTAGCTCACAGCAACCTCGAACTCCTGGGCTTAAGCAATCCTCCTGCCCCAGCCTCCCAGAGTACCAGCATTACAGGCATGCGCCACCACGCCCTGTCAATAGCTGCCATTTTTAAAAAGTACTTACTGTGGGCCAGGCACCATGCCAAGTGTCCTCAGAACAACTGAGGTTGGTACCACCACCTATACCATTTTACAGGTGAAAAAAACCTGCCCAGCCACAAAGCAAGAAAATGGTAGAAACAAAAATTCAACCCCAGGTCAGCCTGGCTCCAAAGTCCAGATGTTTCTAGCTGCTCTCATGGTCAGGTCTTCAGATCCTTGACAAATGCAGGGCCTTTCTTGGGAACCACTCTGACTTCCCGTAAGTCATCAACTCTCTCGAAGCAAGGAGGAGGTCTGTCACCTTCACATGCTCCAGTACCTAGAACAGTTCCTGGCAGGTATCTACTAAGGGAATGAACGATTCATCTTTTGCAGTGTTTGGCCAGTTGGCCGGACATGTTGCCCACACTGAGAGGCGACTATTTCAGTTATGAAGTAACTGGGTCTCTGTGAAAAGAAAATCCCAGCCTGCATAAGCTATTTCAGAGGTCTTGAGCAGCTCCAGAGAAAACAATACCCAGAGGACTGCCCAGGTCTATTTGACACCAATCTGCTCCAAGGAGTAGCCAAGGGCCAACAGGGTATAGCATGGAGAAATTCAAAGGACTCTTTTCTGTTTGGGGACTATTCCAGCCTCATCAGGGCACCAAGAATGGCTATCCCATACTCCAAGGGAATTTATTTAGCTGCATGTGAGGACAAGGGGTGCCAAGAAATAACACTGCTGCCATATATTTGCTTAATAAAAAGTGTTTGTGTGATTCATTTCAAGCCTGCTACAGGGTCAGAAGTACTGAGAAAACAGTGGAGACCTCCGGCTGTGAGTGAAATGGCTCATCCAAGAGTAACTCATTCACAAGCCAAATCATCTCACATCAGCTGCCAACCAACCAACAGGGTCATGACTCTGCCACTAGCAGCAGCCTGTGCCAGGAGGGGAGCCCTGAGGCTGTGGGGAAGCAGCCACCTTGAGGAACGGAATCCATCCAACCCTCCCACAGTACGCTCTGCAGGAGGAATCCTTCTGCAGAAGGTACACACGGACCTCTATGGTTCAGAAATTGTTCATGTTAACACAAGTGAAAATCCACCAAGACCCACCACAGGAATGTCCTTTGTTGGGTTCCAAGATAGAGAAGAATGAGCTTAGCCTCCAGAATATAAATGTTTTTTCCTCCTTTTTTTTAAATAGTAACCAGCCTCTATTATGAAATCAGAATATAACTAGATTGCAATCAAGCCCCCTCAGAGCCCCAAGGGAGGCATAGAAGCGGATCAAAGTGGAAGAAGAAAGATTTACTGAGCACCCAACTTTTACTAAGCTCCTGCCTCCCTGACAGCATTACCAGAGCTAGAATCCCAGAGACCAAGACTGAGTACTGCTTTTAATAGCATAAGACTAATAGCAACAACTAAGACACCCCCCCCCACACACACACAGAGGAACTGGTTAAATTAATTACAGTAAGCCCATACAATGGGGCATATAAGGCTTTTCATTAACAAGAATGAGGCAGCTATAGCCAGGCTGGCCTGCAGTCCTACCTACTTGGAGGCTGAGGCAGGAGGCTCACTTAAGTCCAGCAGTTAAGACGTTAAGAGTCCAGCCTGGGCAACGTAGGGAGATCCCATTTCAAAAAAAAGGGGGCAATTATATATGCAGTCATGTGGAGCAATGACCAAAATACACTACGTGGGGGAAAAATAGCTACAGAACAGAATGTACAGAAGCTGCTTTTTGCATTTTTAAAGTATGAGTTTCTGGTAACAGCTTCCTGAAGTTTCTTTGGGAGCCATCCCAAAGAAACATCCCTCAATTCTAGGTCCGACTTTCAGGGGGTTTCTGATCACCCTCCCCACCCTCAGTCCTAGGAATGGGCACCACCCCCAGCCCACTCCAGGTCTGGCAGTTTTCATATTTCATACCCCTGGTCATGCTGATTCCCAGGTAAAATACTAGACCCAGGCTGGACCAACAGGCAGGAAAACCCTGACTTTTGCAAATCAATGGGAAAAAGAAATGAATTCTGCTAGGATTGCAGCAGAAGGCAAAACAGACAAAATTCAAGAAAAAAAATGAATCTTGGTGACATCAGGGAGCTCCTAGACAGAGCCTTCCCCTTTGTTGCTTTTCTTTCTTTTTTTTGGTAAACCAGTATGAATTAGTTTTTGGTCACTTGCAACTAAAAAAGACTGGCCAGGCGCGGTGGCTCATGCCTGTAATCCTAGCACTCTGGGAGGCCGAGGCGGGTGGATTGCGGGCGGACTGCTCGAGGTCAGGAGTTTGAAACCAGCCTGAGCAAGAGTGAGACCCTGTCTCTACTATAAATAGAGAGAAATTAATTGGCCAACTAATATATATAGAAAAAATTAGCCGGGCATGGTGGCGTATGCCTGTAGTCCCAGCTACTCGGGAGGCTGAGGCAGGAGGATTGCTTGAGCCCAGGAGTTTGAGGTTGCTGTGAGCTAGGCTGACGCCATGGCACTCACTCTAGCCTGGGCAACAAAGCGAGACTCTGTCTCAAAAAAAAAAAAAAAAGACTAATGATAATAACAATAGCTAATACTGACTGGGCATTTACTATACATGTCATGGTAAGGCACTATTTTAAGTGCTTTACCTGTATTAAAGATTTAGATCCTCCCAGCAACCCTAATTAGAGGTATTATTACCATTCCCATCTTAAAGATACAGCTGCTTCACTGGCTTAGGCAAGATCTGTCAGTGACTCAAGTGTGGCCAGTCTTCAGACCATCGCAGCTAGAGTGACTTCCTTCACCCCACCTAGACCCATGACACATTCACCTTCAACTACACATTTGCCCCGGACATACCATCAACTCCTTTGACCCACCATGGCACCACCACCGCCTCATCCCCAATAAATTTGGTTTACACCATAATTTACCTTCTTTGGTCCTACTACAGAAGAAAAACAAAACACCGAAAAATACATAGCCATGAGAACTGCAACATACATTTCTGACGTCCAGTGAACACTCCACACTCCTCCTAATTCAGGATCTCAGGAGAGAGCTCTCTCAGGAGAGAAGGGCAGAGGTGATCCCACCCCCCTAAGGAAATCTGGGGATGTCTAGCGACATTTTTGAATATCATGACTGGGAAGAAGAATGTATGCTAATGGTATCTAGTCGGTCAAGGCTGGGGATGCTGCTGAACATCACATAATGCACAACAGAGAAATGTCTCCAAATTCCCAGAAAATCAATGGGCATAGGCTGAGAAATCTAGCTCTCAAGTGCCCAGGTGGGCTCCCTTATATTTCTCTCACCAGCCATTTTCAAACTTCCCCACCTTCAAGTCCCCTAGTCCACCTCAGCCCCTAACACTCAGGTGGCAGTAGTAATAACAGCACTGAAAAACGTGTGCACATGCAATCATCTTTACCTCCTTTCCCAGACACTCAGAAAAACAAGGTGTCTTTCCTCTGTGCAAGGCCAGGTCACCCCTTTCTGCTCTGGCTCTGACCTTCAGCACCTCGAAGGCCCCCTTGCAATGGATGAACACTGGCTCTAGAATTGAGGTATACTTCCCCAAAGCAACAAAGCACAACGAGGAGCTCAAGTACCCCTACTTCAAATCTCCTTTACTCCTAAATTCCCTCTCACTACTCTCCCTTCTTCCTTTCACATTCAAGCACCACTAATAAAATAAAATAAAACAAAACAAAACAAAAGGCTAGGAGGCTACTCCTTACACTCTCCCCACTGATTTATTCTGCCTGGCCTTTCCCAAATTACATTTCAAAGTAGGTGGTAACTTTTGAAAACAAGAGATTTCACATTGAAGTATAGGTTCTAGCCCTCCCTAAAAAGCTGGAAGATCTAGCAACTTTGGACATCGCCCCCAAAAAAGCTGGAGCTGAGGAACTCCCCCTCCTTGGGCAGCGTCACAGGCACTCCTGCTCATCTCTACCTGGGCCAGCCGCTCCTAGTTACCTTACCTGGTCTACTTCCCCCCATCACACTACCTCCTAAATAAACTACCTTCCATCTCCACCATTTAACTCAAAGGGATGTCGTTAATAACCTGTTACCAGATTCAAAGTTTCCCCTGCTCCTTTCTTATTCTACTCTGCCTCTTTTTATTTACTTATTTATTTGTTTTTGAGACAGGATCTTGCTCTGTCACCCAGGTTGAAGTGCAGTAGCCCAATCATAGTTCACGGCAATCTTCAACTTCCAGACTCAAGTGATCCTCCTGCCTCAGACTCCCAGGTAGCTGAGACTACAGGCGTGCACCATCACGCCCAGCTAATTTTCTTGTAGAGGCGAGTTCTTGCTATGTTGTTCAGGCTGGTCTTGAACTCCTGGCCTCAAGCGACCCTCTCACCTTGGCCTCCCAAAGTTCTAGGATTACCGACGTGAACCACTTTGCCCAACCCCATATTCTTTTTTTCTGAGACAGAGTCTTGGTCTGTCACCCAAGGTAGAATGCAATGGTTTGATCATAGCTCACTGCAAGTTCAAACTCCTGGGTTCAAGCAATCCTCCTGCCTCAGCCTCCTGAGTAGCTAGGACTGCAGGCCTGAGCCACCACACCCAGCTAATATTTTCTATTTTTGGTAAAGACAGGATCTCTCTTGTGTTGAGGCTGGTCTCAAACTCCTGAGCTCAAGCAATCCTCCCACCCTGGCCTCCCAGAGTGCTGGGATTACCCATGTGAGCCATTGTGCCAGACTCCCATACTCTATCTTTAAGCAGCAAGACTGCCTGCCAACCCCACCTCTCCTTTGATATCCTGGGTTCTCCTTCCCCCCGCCTTTGCTTCTGTTCCACCTTCAGTCTTCAAGCTGCTCTTCCCATCTGCCTCTTCAGTGCTGGGGCTCCCCATGCTCCATCTCCAAACCTCTGCTCTTTTTAACATGTAGCCTCCCAGGGCCAGTTCACTGCCTGTGAACTGAAGATCCCCAAGCCATACTGCCAGCTCTTACCCTCTCTGGAGCCAACCAACTGCCCAGAGTGCATCTCTTTCTGAATATGCTACAAGCAACTCAAACTCCACAACTCAACCTCTCTTCCTAAATCAGCTCCTCCTCACAGGGTAGCCATCTGTAACCGACCAGTTACCCAAGCCTGAAACCTGGGGTTCATCCTAGATTCCTCGTCTTTGCCTCCATCCCAATGCATCAGGCTGCTGACTGTGCCTGCTAATTACTTCTACTCTCCCTCCCCACTGCCTTAGTCCTACTGCAGCCCCTAAACACTACCAAAAGAGCTTTTTAGCTACTCTCCCTGCCTGAAGTCTCACCCTCTCTATCCAATTTAGTTCCCTCATCAAGATGCTCCAGCTGAAAACTCCACAACAGGCCCCCTCCCCGCCCCCAGATAAAACAAACTCCTTTCTGCAGCATACAAGACCCTTGAAGACCTGGCCCCAAATAGCTGTGCAGCCCTCTTTTCCAGATTCCTGCTCCTTAGACTCTGCACTCCTGCAGACAGACCTACTTGTTCCCAGAATGCCCCACATTCTCATGTCCCCAGCTTTTGCACATGCAGTTTCCTCGGCCTGGAATGTGGTCGCTTCCATTGTTCAAACACTAGGTCCGCTGTGACAACCTCCAGGTAAACAAACCAACTCCTAACCACCACACTAAATAAACGCCCTCCCTGCCAAGTCCCGTTAATAAAGTGATGTTATGTCGGTGTGAGCCCACACACAAAAAAAGTCTTTGTGAGCAAGGATCCTATGTTACGAATCTTGGTAACATCCCCAGCACCTAGCAGAGCTCGGTACAAGGGGCATATTCTTTATCCTTTTTGAGCCTCAATTCCTCGTGGTCGAACGGGGACAATAACGACTCCTACCCCCAGGACTACCGTCAAGCTTACAGGGGGCAAACATGCACGTAAGTCCGGCCAGAGTAAATACACAAACAAGGTATGAAGGCTTACTCCTTGGCACCGAAGGCAGCAGCCGCGCAGAGATCCTTCTCAGCCCCTAACGGACTGCACATCAGTCGGCCTGAGTCTCCGTAAGCCTAAGTCTCCCCGCCTCCCAACCGGGGTTAATAATAGAGGCGATCTCGGGGTCGTAGCGAGGACCAACAATAGTGGACACGCTTTTAGCCCCGTGCCTGGCAGCACGCGTTACCATTTCGGTTGCCAGCGAGGACCCCGCACCGCTACTAAGAGGGGGTGGCCGGCGGGGGAGGGGCCGAGCGCAGGCCCGCGCCTGCAGCCCTGGCGGGTCCTCGGGTCCTCTCGGGGCAGCCCCGGGCGACCCTGCTGCCCCCGGCGCAGGCCGGGCCCCGCTCCCCGACGCCGGGCTCCCCCGCCCCAAAAGGAAGGCCCTAGGGGGGCGGGAAGCGGGGCTTCACGTGCCCGCGCCCAGGGGCGGCCTGGATACTCACTGAGCCACAACTCCAGCGCCGCCGCCGGGCCCGGGGGCCGCTCGGCCGACTCGGTCCCCGCCGCGGCCCCGGTCCCCGTCGCCACCGCCGTCGCCGCCATGGGCCCAGCCCCCGCGCTGTGGCCACGGCCGCCCCTGCGCTTCAGCCGCCGCCGCCGCCACCGCCAGGCGCGCTCTGGTGCCGCCGACGCGGCAGGGCACGTGACGGGGCGGGGCTAGCGCGGCCCCGCCCACCCTTCAGGGCCCGCCCTAGAGGCGGCGGGCTCAGGCCGCCGGATTTGCTAGATACCCTCCAGCCACTTGGTCCCGCTCTCGGGTTTTCCTCTCCCAGACCCCTCGCAAGGTCACGCCAATCAAACTGACCCCGGCTAGGCCTGCGACTCCTCTTCCTTCAGAATTAGGGTTGTCAGATAAAGTACACAACTCCCGGTTCAATTTGAATTTCGGATGCACAATGAATAATTCTTTCACCATTTTTATTTGGGAGGGTCTTCCCAAAACACCTCCAAAATGACACGCCCTGTGTCCTTCCATATTTTGCTTTATTCTGTAAGTCACACAGTACACTGTCGACGTGTTAGTTATTAACTTGCTTATTTTGTCAAAGGAAATTTTTGAGTAAATAAATATGGGTAGCAAAAACGTAGGTCATGATTTTCATACACTGTGAAATGAACACGTTATTTTATTTAATGCTTTAGTTAAATAAGGTAACCAAGCCTATGTTATAATCAGTCCAAAAGAGCAAATTTGTAATACATGGAATAAAGGAACGTTGATGTGAAGGGACACAAAACTGGCTTTTCCACCAGTGGTGAAAGTTGTCCCTCCAGTAGACAATATTAATTTGCATGCCTGTAGGCAAAAATTATTTTGCATTGCTATTACTTATCTACACATACCTTAGAGTTGTAAAACTTTTCAAAGACAACAAAAGGCTAGAAGCTGAAAAGGTGTACTGTCTAAACAATGCCTAATATTCTACTGAAGCACAGATTCTTCCTTGTAAGTGATGATAACAATGGAAAAATATTCTTGTCTATACACATGCAAAAGAATACTACTTGGAAACACACAAACTTCTTCCAGTGGAAAAACCAGTTTAGCCTCCATTGCACATTCACTTCAATGTTCCTGATCCAATGTTCCTGTTCTTTGGATTCTCTTTTGAACTGGTTTTAATATCTTACCAATTTCTTCATTAATGAGTTAAATATTTAACACATGATCATCTCTTGAAAATTCTAAACATCTGGCAACAGTGGATCTGTTTCAAATATCTGTTAATAACTAGAGGCTGCACTTGTTTGAGGGGCCATGAGCTCTCCATTTTGCCAAAGACCATCCTTCAACTAAGTATTTGTTATCCCTGTGTGTTAGGTAGATTGAGGGATTCCAGGTCTCCTAGGGACAAAAGTAAGTGCTGTTGCCCCCATCTTGGTCCTGCCCCACCCTAATTCTCCATACTTGGGGGAGGAGGGAATACCCTACAAATCTGCCAATCAAAACTTGGCATACCAGCTGAGAAGAATGCAGAGGACTCTCTAGCCCACAGGCCAAGCCACACTGGTACCATATAGTCTGGAATGAGACCTAGAACCCACATGGGTAGTTAAGGCTCAGGTCATGTGACTCCCAACCGTCCTATCAAAGTGGTTCTATCTTGACCTCTGACCCACAAGGGAGGGCCCCACCCGGGAGGGCCCCACCCAGACATTAATAAACGAGATGTAGAGTAGAGCATAGCCAAGCTATCTCTCTTTGCCCTTCCTTTTGCTTGCCCTGCTTCAACAGTGAATCCGCTCGTCATCTGTGGTGTATGTACCACGCTCTGTAAACCTGTATCTTGCTCTTGCCCTATAATCCTATCTTTCTCTCTTCAATAAACCTCATTTTTGTGCTTGCCTACCTTTGGCATGTCTGTTCATTCTTCGGCCACAAGCTCACTGACAGTTTCAGACTAAAACGTAACACCTGATTTACTTTAAGTGCCTGTAGCTGTTTAACATCTTGACATTGTTGGGGCTCCAAAAACAGTATCTCAAAGTATGGCGTTTTTCGCATGCTGAATACTTTGAACTAAAGGAGATTGTAAGACCTCAAAAGCAGCCTCAGAGCAAAATCTCTCTGACCATTTATTGTATTTTGATACAGGGTCTCTCGTTCTGTTTCTTGGGCTAGAATGCAGTGGCAGCATCATAGCTCACTGCAACCTCAAACTCCTGAACTCAAGCGATCCTCTTGCCTCAGCTTCCTGAGTAGCTGGGACAGCTAATTCTATTTTTAGGAGAGACGATGTTGCTCTTGCTCAGGCTAGTTTCCTCTTCCTGGCCTCAAGCAATCCTCCCGCCTAGGATTCTCAGAGTGCTAGGATTACAGGCATGAGTCACCCGCCCAACCTCCTGTCCTTTTCATTTATGTTACCTGTATGGCTGGGCAGGCACCTCAGTTTGCAACCTTCTTGACTAACCTCAAACTTCATTCACTTAACAAAGATTCATTAAGTTCATACTTAACGTATTTGGTGCTGGGCACAATCCAGGGGAAATGGAGCGATGAAAATGTGGATGAGGCCCCTCCCTTTAGGGGCTCACAGACCAGCAGGGGAGAAGGACCTCAACCTCTAGGAATGTAGAAGGAAGAGACTGTGACCCAGTCTGGGGGAGGTCAGTGAGAACTTTGCTGAAGCACTTATGATTGAGCGGAGATTCAAAGAATGAGCAGTAATGAATAAGGAAGAGGGGATCAGGCAGAGGAAACAGCACGTGCAAAGGCTCTATGATGAAGAGGAGGGCCCTTTGGGGACCTGAAAAGCAGCCACATGGCATTTGTCTCCAGCACCTAGCACTATGCCTGACAAGGGGGAGGTTTCACTCAAGTATAAGCGTCACCCTCTAGGAGCCCCCCCCTTGTGTGCTGTGCAGCTCTGCCTGTTCCCCTTGGCTTCCCATTTCCTTCCTTGTGTGGGTCTGTCTCCCTTTCTGGGAGATGTCTCCCACGTCTTTGCCCTTGACTGCACACCATGACAGTCTAATCCGATCAGATGTGTGTCTGGTCTTTTGTGTAACATATTTACCTAGCACCTATTATGGCACTCCTGGTTCTCAGGCCTTCAGACTGGAATTTACACCACTGGCTCTGCAGCTCTCAAGCCTTTGAACTATGTCACCTACTTTCCTGGGTCTGCAGTTTGCAGATGGCAGACTGTGGGATTTCTCAGCTTCTGTAGTCGTGTGAACCTCATAATAAATCTCTTCCTGCGAATATATCCTATTGGTTCTGTTTCTCTGAGAACCCTAGTACAGGCCCTAACAGGCTGTGGTGAGAAAACACGGCTTTATCCATGCCTCATTTTCCAATCACTCCCTACCAGGGAAATCTCTCTTCAGCATAGCTGCCAGAATGACCTTTCAGAGAAACACAAATCTGATCATGTCGCTTCCCTGCCTAAAACATTTCAGCGGCTCCCACACCTTCTGCCTCATGAAGACCCAACCTTCCTGTCTTCACTAATTGCACCCCCTTGTGTTTAGGTACCTACCACTCCCTGACCCAGCCTTGTACCTCAAGGAAATGCAGACCCCACCCCCAGCTCTGGGTCTGACTGATCTATGGGGAACCTCGTGTCCCCAGCAGTGAAGGGCTCAAAAATGGGGAAGTTGGGTTGGGGGAGGGTACTTAGAAAAAAGTTCCCTCGCTTTTAGGAGAGAACCACAGAAAGCTGCCTGCAAGTACAGAGAGGCCTGATTGCTTCTGGCAGCAATGAGCAGTGAGCTGAACCAACCCAAGGCGTTTGCAGGTGCTGAGGCCAGTAGAGCAGACAGATGGCAAGACCTGGGACCAAACGCATAATTAACCAACCCTGGAGCCTGCCTTACCCCTGAAGTTCCTGTTATGTGGGATAATAAATCTTGTTTAAGCTGGTTTGAACCTGCATTTTGTTATTTGCATCAGACGGCACCTTGATACCTTTTACCTGGCAGAGAAAGCCTGCTTGGATCTCGCTTCTGCCTGGATTCTCAGAAGCCACTTCTACCTCTCCCCCAACTCCTACTCTCAGCTCCAGTCATGCCCAATTCTGTGAAACTCTCTTTTTCGTCCCTCTGCTTGAATAGCCCTTCAACCCGCTTCTACTTGGGAAACTCCCACTCATCCCTCAGAACCCAGTTCCAAGGTCACTTGGTCTGTAAAACCCACTGACAAGCCAGAACAGAATCAAAGGCTTCTTTGCTCTCTGAGCCCTTCTATCACCCAGGTCTTCATTTTCTAAGTATTTACTATCGTGGTGCCTGGGAAGGTAGTGAATTTGTCATAAGACAGTATTAACTGACAAGACGACAAACTTCTAACTTTAGTCCCCACTAAACATACATCCCTCCATATGGCCCCTTCCCATCTGTCCCCACCCTTCATTTCAAGGCTTTGTCAAAAGTAAGTCTCTCCCAGACAGCTGGATTCAATGCAAATTATAGGCAGCAGACCAGATTGCTAATTACAACTGTAAATCTTGCAAAAGAGGTAAGATTTTCCTGAGTAGGTGATATGGGAAACTGTTAGAATCTGCAGTTAGACCAGCTGATGATCCCTACTTGAAAAAAAACAGATCTGACTGATGAAGCCCTCAAACATTTTTGCATTGTGAGATCTTTACTGATTCCCTACTGTGTATCAGGCAATGTGCCAGCTGCTATATAACCAAGAATAAGACAGATTTGAGCTAGGAGTGGTGGCTCATGCCTGTAATCCCAGCTACTTAGGGGGCTGAGGCAGGAGGATCACTTGAGCCCAGGAAATCAAGGCTGCAGTGAGCTATGATCATGCCACTGCACTCTAGCCAAGGCAAGAGAGTGAGATTGTGCCTCTTAAATAAAAAAAGGAAGACTTCCTGCCTGCCTTAATCTTATTTTTTAAGACAGACAGTAAATATGTACACATACATTATATAATTTCATATCATAAAAAGTACTATGAAGAAAAGTAAAGCAGGATAAAGGCAACTTAGATTAGATTCCAAATTTGGCTATAAAAAGGTAATTTGCTGGGGAGGATATTCTCTAAATGACATTGAAGGAGAACATGCTCAGGGGAAGGAACTGCTCTCCCACCTACTACAGTGGGTCCCCTGAAGTAAGGATCATATCATCCCTGTCCCACCCACCACAGTTGATTAGCCTAAGCTAGGCCAACGAAGATTCTCTCCTGGAGTCTGTATGTCGAATACTGGTTATTTAACTGGTGGTGTAGGAGAAGGGAAATGATTGTAGCTTTAGGGTTGGGGCCGTTGTTGGGGCAAGTGCAGAGATAAAGAGAAAGCCAGGCTGCAGAGAGAAGGCAGGGGAGCAGACAACTATAAAGAGGCACTAGAAACTGTGTGGTCTCGGACAAAAAGTTGCTGTCTTGGGTTTCCAGTTACAGATTCCAGTCTCTTGTGAGGTCCAGTTGGAAGTCCTGCCCTTTAGATCTGTTAGAGTCTAAATTCTTCGAGTAAAATTTCTTCCTTTATTTCTTTGAGTAAATTCTTCCTTTCATAGTTTCAGTTAATCTGTTTCTATGCTTTGCAACTGAGATCATTTCTAAGAATGAAAATAATAATGATGGTGATAATAGTTAACATAAATTAAGTGCCAGGCACTTTATATGTTTTCTATTCCAATCCTTACAACTCTTTGAGAAAGGTACAATTCTTATCCCTATTTTATAAACAAGGAAACTGAGGTACAGAAGAGTCACACAGTAAGTAGCAGAAGTGGTTTTTGTTTGTTTTTAGACAAAGTTCCACTCTGTCACCCCAGGTAGAATGTGGTGGCATGATCATAGCTCACAGCAACCTCAAACTCCCGGACACATGAGATCCTTTTGCCTCAGCCTCCTAAGTAGCTGGGACTACAGGTGTGTCCCACCATGCCCAGCTAATTTTTCTTTTTTTTTAATTAAAAAAAAATTTTTTAAGATAGAGTCTCATTGTCACCCTGGGTAAAGTGCCATGGCATCAGCCTAGCTCATTGCAACCCCAAACTTCAGGGCTCAAGCAATCCTCCTGCCTCAGCCTCCCAAGTAGCTGGGGCTACAGGTGTGCTTCATGACACCCCGCTAATTTTTTCTATTTTTAGTAAAGATGGGGTCTCTTCTTGTTCGGCTGGTCTCGAACTCCTGAGTTCAAGTGATCCTCCCACCTTGGCCTTACAGACATGAGATACCATACCTGGCCAGAATTGGTTTTTGACAGCCCGATCTCTTTTATCACAGCATGATACTCTCAATACCACTGGTGGATGGGCTTGAGGTTGTTTAAAATGTGTGGAGCCCCTTCAAACATTCCTACTGGTCCTGCACAAAACTCCCAATCAGAAGACACATGCTGCCTTCTAGACAGGTCATTCCATTTGAGGAAGTGGCAGTGACTTTATCAACTCAGCATTTAAAAAAATATGTGGTAAAATAGATAAAAACATAAAATTTACCATCTCAACCATTTTTAAGTGTACAGTACAATGGTATTAAATATATTTATAATGTTGTACAACTATCACCACCACCTAACGTCCATAAGTTTTCATCTTGTAAAACTGAAACTCTATACCCATTAAACAGTAACTTCCGGTCTCCCCCTCTCTCCAGCTCTTGGCAACCACCATTTTACTTTCTGTTTCTATAATTTTGATTATGTTCTTTTTTTCCTTGAGACGAGACAGGGTCTCACTCTGTTGCCCAGGCTAGAGTACAGTGGTATCATCATAACTCAGTGCTGCAAACTCAATTCCTGGGCTTAAGCAATCCTCCCGCCTCAGCCTTCCAAGTAGCTGGGACCACACTTTGCTAATTTTTCTATTTTTGGCTCTTACTCAGGCTAGTCTCAAACTACTGAGGCCCAAGTGATCCTCCTGCCTCAGCCTCCCAAAGTGTTAGGATTATAGGTGTGAGCCACTGCGCCTGATCTAATTTTGATTATTATATGTACTTCATATAAGTGGAATCATATAGTTGTATTTGTCCTTTTGTGATGAACATTTCACTTCACACACAAAGTCCTTAAGGTTTATCCATATTGTAACTATGTCAGAATTAACTCGGCATTTTGATCACTCACTTTGTTAAAACATTCACATTCCCTTACCATGAGCCAAAGAGCTCCCTCTAACTGTTCTTAAAGTCTTAGAAGCAGGAAGGAGCTCTGATGCTAATTAGTATATAAGAGTTGAGCCTGGGCTCTGTATTGCCATAGGCCTGAGTTTATGGCTTTGCTTCACAGCTATAATTTCAGAAGTATTACTTCACTTTTCAGAGCCTCAGTTTCTCTATCTATAACACAGAAGAAATAGTAACATCACCACCTCTCTCAAGGGGTTGTGAAGATTTACTAAGATGGGTTAAAGCATTTACCAGCATAATCTGAAACCTGGGAGTGGATGAGGCTCTTTTAAGTGCACAATAAAATCACAAGTATTGTCATTACTGTGTCCCCTTCTGTTGTCAAAACCTGTTGTTTCTGCCATTACTTTTTTTTTTTTGAGACAAAGTCTCACTTTGTTGCCCAGGCTAGAGTGAGTGCGTGGCATCAGCCTAGCTCACAGTAACCTCAAACTCCTTAGCTCAAGCAATCCTACTGCCTCAGCCTCCCGAGTAGCTGAGACTACAGGCATGCGCCACCCTGCCTGGCTAATTTTTTGTATATATATTTTTTGGTATTATTTTTTCTATTTTAGTAGAGACGGGGTCTTGCTCTTGCTCAGGCTGGTTTCAAACTCCTGACCTCAAGCGATCCGCCCGCCTCGGCCTCCCAGAGTGCTAGGATTACAGGTGTGAGCCACCATGCCCAGCCTGCCATTATTTCTTCTCTTAGAAAAAGCTTCCTAGTTTTCCTTGGGAACAACTTTTCCTCCACTGGATATAATCTCTGTATGACTATCTATTCCTGGCTAATGGCAATATGACTTCATTAGCTCAACTAGACACTCGCTCCTTAGAATCTGAATCTTTAGCTGAGTCATCCAAAACTGAGGGGAAAACACAGAGAAATGAACACCACCACAATTGTAGTTCATGTGTCCACACCAAGAACTCAGACAAGATTGGCCACTAGCTTCTTGCAGACTGCTGTCTTTTCCAAATCTGGTTCTTTGGCTCTTCTACATTCTCCAATAAACTTAAGTCAGGCAGAGTTGGTTTCCATTACTTGCAATCAAAGCACTTTATCTAACGTAATCTTTCATTAAAGACTAGGACTATGAGCGTCAACAAACTCTTCAATCCCCTCCCCACTCCCCTGGGCAAGGAGATTATATTAGTTATCTATTGCTGGATAACATATTATCCCAACACCAAGTAGCTTTAAACAATAAGCATTTACTTTCTCACAATCCATGTGTCTGAAATTCTGGAGCAGCTTCACAGGGTGGTTCTGGGTCTCTTATGGAGGTTGCAGTCAAGACATGAGATAGGACTGTGGATGCGTGAAGGCTTGCCTGGGGCTGGAGGGTCAGCTTCCAAGATGATGCACTCTTGTGGCTATTGGCAGAAGGCTCAATTCCTTTTCACATGCACCTCTCCAGAGGGTGGTTTAAGTATCTCCATGACCCGGAAGCTGGCTTTCCCCAAAGTAAGGGATCCAAGAGAATAAGGCGGAAGCCATGATGTGTTTAATTTAATTTAATTAATTTTATTATTTTTGAGACAGTCTCCTTTGTTGCCCAGGCTAGAGTGAGTGCCGTGGCATCAGTCCAGCTCACAGCAACCTCCAACTCCTGGGCTCAAGCGATCCTGCTGCCTCAGCCTCCCGAGTAGCTGGGACTACAGGCATGCGCCACCATGCCCGGCTAATTTTTTTCCATATATATTACTTGGCCAATTAATTTCTTTCTATTTATAGTAGAGATGGGGTCTCGCTCTTGCTCAGGCTGGTTTCGAACTCCTGACCTTGAGCAATCTGCCCGCCTCGGCCTCCCAGAGTGCTAGGATTACAGGCGTGAGCCACTGCGCCCGGCCTGTATTTTACGACCTACCCTTAGAAGTCAAATTCTTATCATTTTCTTAACAGCCTACAGGTTACACAAGTCAGCCCTAGTCAATGTGGGAAGGAACCACACAAGGGGGTGAGTACTAGGAGGCAGAGATCATTGAGGGCCATCTGAGAGGCTGGTTGACACACAGGGGAAGCTCAGAAGCCTTATATGGGTTTTTGTCCCTTACCACAATCCTTCTATCACTTTAGCTATTCCTATCCACTGAAAACCCCAAGAAGAACACCTCATTTCAGAAATCCACAGATGATGACTTACAAGTAATAGTAGAAGGAAGAAGTGGATGTGAAGAAAAAGCCACAAAACAGGCAGGGTGAAGGTCTCCAGTCCAAGGACCAGGTCTGGAGAACTGGAAAACAGGAAGAGATGACCCTTAGGGAAAGGAAATACAGGCTGCCCCAAGGACCAAGGACAAACATTAGTATAAAACATGAGCGCTTACCCTTAGCAGGTAAGTAACTTCTCCCTTTACAGCCCCCAGCGCAAGTCTGGTGTCCAGTTCAACCCTGCCACGTCAACTGTCCTTCATGGCTCTGAATCCAAACTGGGCCTGAGAACTGAGATCCATGACTCCAGACTGCTGCCGAGCTGTTACAGGCTGCACTGTGTCTCCCCACTCCACCACCAAATTTTTATGTTGAAATAACCCCCCACTGCCTCAGAAGTTGACTGTACTTACAGATAGGGCCTTTAAAGAAGTGATCATGATAAAATGAAGCGGGTAGGGTGGGCCATATTCTAATCTGACTGGTGTCCTGAGAACTCTGGACCCAGAGCAAGAACCAGGGATGTGCGTGTATGGAGGAAAGACCACTTAAGAATATAGCAAGAGGGCAGCTGTCTGCAAGCCAAGAGAGGCCTCAGAAAAAACCAAACCTGCCGACACCCTGACCTTAAGACTTCTACCCTCTAGAACTGTGAGAAAATCTCTGGTTTTACAAGTGAGATGTGCAACGTTTAGGGGATGGACACGCTCGAAGCTCTTACTTGAGCGGGGAGGGGGCCATGGGCAATATATGTAACCTTAACACTTGTACCCCCATAATACGCTAAAATAAAAAAATATATATTAAAAAAAAAAAAATCTCTGGTTTTTAAGCCACCTAGCTCTCCGAGATTTTGTTATGGCAGCCCTAGCAAATGAATACCCAAGCTCTCTGGACTGTTCTGGGATGTTGACTTTTCTGTGAACTAACTCCTAACCTCTGCTGTGTAAAGTGGTGTCGAAAAACAGACATAAGCTCTTCCTTCCAGAGTCAAGGAGGTGAGATGGGTTGGGCTTCCCTGGCCTACTGTCGAGGATGGGGTTGTCTTGGAGCCATAAATGCACTGTGCGAAGTCCGATTCTGTTTCCACTTTTAGTTCCTTCTGCGAACTTCCTGATGGGCCTCCAGCCTTCTCCTGTCCTCTGAAGGCAGTTTCCAAGGGTACGGGTTCCTATGGCCATGACCACCGTGCTGCACATCCTCTCCCTAGCTGGAAAGCACCTTCTGGATTCGTTCCCGCACTTCCTTTGGTCCCAAAGACACCATCATCTCAGCAACAGGAGGTCCTTGCTAAGAACAAAGAGAGAAAATATTGCCCCATTGCCTTACACTGCGTAAGGAACTGATGCTCAGCCTCTCTGGAAGTTATCCCCAGGCCTGCCCCAACACTGCTGCCTATGTTCCAAGGAGCAGAGCTTGCCTTTCATTGGTCTTTAACTCCCCTGGATGAGGATGGGTCCCAGGAGCCTGTTTTGGTCTCTTATCCCCAGGAAACTGCAAACTTCACAGAGGCAGGGATCACACGTGTTTCATTCACTACTGTATCTACTGGACCTAGCATGGTGCTGCACATAGTAGATACTCGATAATAAATAGTGCCTGCTGATTGACTGAATGAGGGGAGTGATCATGTTCCATTCATCTTGTATCCCCAAAACTTAGCTCAGTGACTGCCAGTAAATGTTAGCTGAAAGGATAAATGAGGGGCTCCAGGTAACGGTACAGCCCAGCTCCCCGCCTCACCAGCTGTCCACTGAGGGCCACTCGGAGGAGCTTCATCACGTTACTGTGCTTGGTGCCTTCCAGGCCTTCAGACAGCTTCTTCAGCTCTCCACTCAGCATTTCCCGAGTTAAGCTTGTACCGGATCTTTCTAAAAGCCTAGAAGAGGGTCAGTCTGTAAGGTTCTTGCACAGACCAAAGGCAAGTGCGTGAGAGGAAGAACTTGAGAATATTACTGACCGGCTACAACATAAGCAGCACAACCAATGTTCAAATGTGTTTTGGGGGAGGAAGAGAGATATCCACCACCCCCTCCTCCCTCATCCAAGCTGGGGAAGAGAAAACCACCAATGATATTCTAATCAAGTAGGCACAATATAGGGAACTAAGAGGGTACGATAAGAGAATTTACTAATCGCTACCTCTGTGTCATGTAATCTCTATGCCTTAGCTTTCTCACCTGTACAGTGGGGATGATAATAGCATCTGTCCCACACAGGGCTATGATGGAGTTAGAACTTGTAAAGCACTAAGTACAGTGCCTGAACACAGCAAATACTCAAAAGTATTAGACTTTACATTTGAATAAAAAGTTTTTAAACATTAGCTGATATTTGTTACATCAAAGAGTTCACAGACATTACAAGAAGCTCTAGAAAGAAACTAAGAAAAGGGTTAGACATAGAAGAATGGATTATTTCTGGGAAATTATCTGAAACAGCTTCGAGACTGGTATGGGGAGACTTCTTCGAGGATGCAGAACAGTAAAAACCCAGGAGACCCCAGATCCAGGAACAGCCCTGCCACCCACTTGCTACAACTATTCTTTGCTCACAAATTGAGGCACTTACAGATCTAAAACCCAACGGGCCAGCAACCATCCCTCATTTTCCTAACAGGCCAGCTAAGAGAGATCCTCTCCCAAAAGGCTTCAGTTTTAAGAGAAATTCCGTAATCAGTTAGGGCTGGGCTTACGAAAAATTTGCCCCAGCCCTGAGTCTGAATTAAAGCAAGAGATGGGAATAGGGTGGGGATGAGTATATTGCACAGCAACGTCCCAGTTCTCCTCAGTTTTTATTGGGGATTCCAGATTGGAGACACCGAAGGAGGACATGGGCTGGAGATCTTCACTTGTACGAATGCGCCACAATGCCAATTCTGGCACCGCCTGCTCACACCGGATCCAGACAACTGCATTCCAAAGTCAACTTGGTGTGGAGCGCCACTGGCTCAGAGAACTGGGTTCATAAGTAACTTGAACAGCCTTTTAGTGGAGACAGATTTCCTTACTAACTGCCAGTACTTGAGCAAGTGAGTTTCAATTTAAGACAAAAGTAACTACTCTTATTGTGTCATTACTATGGTCTGAATGTTTGTGTCTCTCCCCAAATTCACATGTTGAAATTCTAACCCCCAAGGTGGTGGTGGTATTAGGAGGTGGGGCCTTTGGATGAACAGATGAATGCCTTTATAAAAGAGACCCCAGAGAGATCCCTCTTGCCTTCTGCCATGTGAAGACACAGTCAAAAGATGGAAGAGGGAAAGGCCACATCATTATAGCTCTTTATAACATCAAGGAGATGAAATACTGGAAACATAAAATGTAATGAGAAAAAATAGACATTCTCCCTAATGTCACCACAGGGATGCAGGCCGCCAAAGAGCTAATAAAAGAATGGCAGGCCCCAGGCAGTCAACAATGGCAGTTCAGGACACGTTAGAGCTGGCCCAGAGCTTGGCGTGGGCACAAAAAGGACTTCTAGTGATCTGGCAGCTTCTGAACGTTTGGGTATCAGCTTTCCTGACTTGAGTGGGAATCCCAGAGTGCCTCTGAAATCCAATCCCATGGCAGGGTGGGGAGTTAAGACACTGAGTCCTAGAGAACAAAAAGTAATAGTCCTTACTGTGTTATGCCCTAAATTAAGAGTATTATTGTTATCAATAATAGCTCTTGAAAATTGATCCTGGAGATATACTTGCAAACTGCTTACTGGTTACAAGGTTATTCACTACAACATTTGTTTATAACAGCTAAATTTGAAAGCAACTGAAATGTCTACCAATAGATGAGTTAAATTATGGTAAAGTCATACAATGGAATAACTATAGAAGAGAATGGGGATGCTCCCCTAGTCCTGAACAAATCTAAAGCTATATTGCTAAGTGGAAAAAAATACCCAAAAGACACAGAATAGTATTATACTGTATCTTTTGGGTAAAAAAAAAAGAGAAAATAAGGATTATGTAGAGACAATTAAAAGTAGTAGTAGCCTGCAGAGGGTTCTAGAACTAGACAGACCGTAATTAAAAAGAGGACTTCCCATTTATGTCCTTTTAAAATAATTTCTAGGTTTTAAGCCAAACTTTGAAAGATTTGAACGTATTATAATAAAAATCTTAATTTAAAAACTTTTAAATTGTAGGAATAGGGTTATATGTACATATCTTTGAATATGCAGACATTTCACAAAGGAAACTGTTAAGAGTGCAGCTGCCTTTCTGTTGGGGCTGAAATAGGAGAGAGATGTTTTGCCATAAATTCTCTATACCATTTGGATTTCTTGTATACATAACATATATTCTTATCTCTTCAAAATATATAACACAGTGAAGCTTCCTAGGTGTCAGGCACTGTCCAGACACTATACACATAAGCAATAGAGAATATGGTTAGACATACGTCTCTAGACTCAGCCTGCCTAGGTTTGAATCTCTACTCTTTCAACTTACTGTGTTATTTTGGACAAGTTATTTAACCTCTCTGTGCCTCAATTTTCTCATCTACAAAATGGGGATAACAAAAGTACTTACTTTATTAGGTTGCTGTGAATTTAAGTACAGATGCACACACGCGTGTGTATATATAAAATGTACATAATACATAAAATAACACATTATAAACAAAGACACATAAGGGCTTGCTATTATTTTTTAATTTGACATTCACAGCAAAGCTGGGAGATAAGTAAAATGAGTAGCTGTGGTTTCTGTTGCCCAGCACCCAAGCCCCTTCCTCCTTATACTAGCACCCCAAATCTTCCCAGGGAATTACCCAACTGCCATTCTCAGCCCTTGTACTTTGCTTAGGGTCCACTCAAGGTCCAACACATGACTTAGGCCGAAGTAAGTCAGCACTTCACATTCCCCAGGCCTTGGTAACTGGTTCAGGAACAGGAAAACCAGGCCATTCAGGCCCTATCAGAGTTAATCCCAAGCCACTGGGAAGAGGTGATCCCCACACCACTAGAGTCTAAAGCTGAAGTTTGACATACAGAGTGGCAGACGCTGTCTTACAACCACAGTGGGACAGGCTGCTAATGATCCCCAGTATCCTTTCTGCCTTTCTTAGGTAATATTTTTAGTTGGGCACATGACTACCAAGTTAAGAAACTACATTTTCCAGCTTCATTTGCAACTTGATGTGGCCAAACACATGGTTCTAGTCAGCAGGATACAGGTAAAAATGATATAGGCTACTTTTAAGAAAGGTCCTTGACATTTTTTTCTTTTTATTCAACCTCAACTTCTTTCTGAGTAAGGAGAATGCAAGAGGCAAGGAGTGGAACTCCACAGAGAAGTCCAGGGAGGAATGTGGACATTCCGAATCTGAACAAGAGCGGGCAGAAACTGGAGATGATCAGCAGGCTGCCAATCAGCAAAGCACAGTGTTACTGGGAACCTCAGGGAAGAAGGGGACCAAACAAAAAATGTCTGCCAAGCATAATGAAGAGTCCTGCCCAAAGAAGGCAGCAGAACGCATTGACAACCCCAAACCCTGGAAGAAGATTCCTCCCTTACCCACCAAACTGCCACCGGTGAATCTGCTTCACCAAGACATTGTACGGGCCTGGTGCCAACAATTAAAGCTGAGCAGCAAAGGCCAGAAATTGGACGCATATAGGCGATTGTGTGAATATGCGTATCCAAATCAAAAGGATATTCCTTCCACAGCCAAGGAGGCCAAGATCCGGGTATCATCACAAAGAAAATCAAATGTAGACAAGGAGGAAATGTTCCTGAAAAGTTCAGGGCAAGGACTGTGTTGTGAGGGGACTGATCTTTCTGCAGTAGGTCCTCCCCCTGAGGAGGGGTTGCCTGCCCTAGAGTCTGCCTCTCTTCTTGAGGGAGTTAATACAGTTGTGGTGACAACTTCAGCCCCGGAGGCTGTGTTGGCTTCCTGGACCAGAACTGCAGCAAGGGCCGGGTCATCCATGGAGGCAGGGGACTCTCCACAGGAGAACTGTGATGTCACGTGGTGTGTGGTTCATGGGAGAGGTCTCCCTGCAGACACAAATGGTTGGGTTCACCTCCAGTTTCATGCTGGACAGGCCTGGGTTCCCGAAAAGATGGGAGACAGAGTGAGTGCATTCTTCTTGCTTCCTGCCTGCAACTTTCCACCTCCACATCTTGAAGACAACATGTTGTGTCCCATGTGCATGCAAAGGAACAAGGTCTTAATAAAAAGCCTCCAGTGGGATTAGAATACCACGAAAAAGCATGCATCTTTAATTGTCATAGCAGAAGAGTTTGACTGTTGATTTCATGGTGCCACTAACAGCTGAACTCTGGTCGTCTTCACACCTGTTCACAGGCCATGCAGACTGGTGTTTTAAAGCAAAGAGACTGTTCCTTCTCTCCTTCCTTTACAAAACATTTTTCAAAGTTTTCTTAATAACCTGGGACTTCTAGCTTAACTAAAGGTTAAAAACACAAGGTACTTGGTTAATATTGTTTATACTTATAATTGTTCTGTTTATTTTTGTGCCTAAAATGTTTAAGCTTGGGAGGGGGCCAAGGGAAATATATGTAACCTTAACATATGTACCCCCATAATATGCTGGAAAAATAATAAAAAATAAAATAAAAAAGAAAGGTCCTTAAGGGAAAGGAGCATCCTATCCCCTAACTCCTTTATTTCCTTCCTCTTCTCACCGAACCGCAGACAGTCCATGAACCACCGCGGACCACGCAGACAAGAGCAAAAGCTAGAGACGCGGAACCCTTGAGACCTGCAGAAAAGCTGGCCAGCCCTAGACTGCCTCCTGCAGATTACAGTATCAGACAAAAAATGTACTTCCCCACCAATATTTCTTTTGTCTACCTCTCCAGTCCCCAAACCTTGTCCACAGCCTGTTAGGGACCAGGCCACAGAGCTCTGCTGCACCCCCTGTACCCCTCCCCTCCATGGAAAAATTATCTTCCATGAAACTTAGGAAGGGGGTGTACAGCAGGAGGTGAGCAAGCAAAATCTTCATCTAGCCTCTCCTCATCCCTTGCATCACTGCCTGAGCTCCGCATCGCTCCCCACCCTAGTCCCAGAATAATTGTGTTCCAAGAAACCAGTCCCTAGTGCCAAAAATATCATCAGGGACTGCTAGTCTACCTAACATGGAGTCTCTGTAAAAAGAATGGCCAGCATGGAGGAGTGGGGAGCAGAAAGTCAAAGGCACAGAGAGAAGAAGGTCTTGGTAACATAGCACTGGTCCCTGCATCAGGCTGTGCCTCAAGGCAGCCCTTCTAATTTTTTTTTTGGACACAGAGTCTCATTCTCCTGCCTGGGCTAGAGTACCATGGCATCAGCCTAGCTCACAGCAACCTCCAACTCCTGGGCTCAAGCAATCCTGCTGCCTCAGCCTCCCGAGTAGCTGGGACTACAAGGCTTGCACCACCATGCCCAGCTCATTTTTTCTGTACATTTTTAGTTGGCCAATTAATTTCTTTCTATTTATAGTAGAGACGGGGTCTTGCTCTTGCTCAGGCTGGTCTCAAACTCCTGAGGTCAAGCAATTCTCCCGGCTCAGCCTCCCAGAGTGCTAGGATTACAGGCGTGAGCCACTGCGTGCAGCCACGGCAGCCCTTCCAGACTCTTACATAAACAATCATTCCTCTCTTGCTTAAGCCAGCTTTGGGTGTGTTTTCTGCCCTCGTAATTAAAAGAATTGTTATAGTAAGAACTTGTACCATCTCCATCTTACAGATGAGGAAATGGAAGCTGAAAGAGGTAAAATAACTTGCCCAAAGTGACACCACCTGGGCAAAGGGACAGAACTTGGTGAGTATAAGTGGCAGAGGTGGGATGCAACCCAGGTTGGTGCAAACACTGAACACACTGCCTGTATCCAGGGAGAGGCTGGGTCCTCTGGTAAGCCCTTCTTACCATAGAAAGCCATGAGTGACTATTTCTTCACTACCCATGGGGTTGTGCTACGGGCCCAACAGATACACCCTGAAGGAAGGGGTGCCATGGGAGAGAGCCAGGGAAGGAAGGCATGGAACCTAGAGTTGGCCTGTGGCTGCTCACCCCAGTGTGCGCTTGGCAATTACATCCGCCTTCTCCGAGATGGCACTCAGCTGTGCTCGATCCAAGGCAGGGCGTGTCCACAGGTAGGAGTACATTGGGGAGACCAAATCCTGCAGGTGGCAAATGTGGCCCTGGGGAAGGGAAGGAGGCAGTTGCTGAATGCACTGGGGACAGGATCTGAACACACTGGAAGAAAGGAGGAATGGGGGCACCCACTCACCCCGTCCATCTCCCCAGCCCCACACCTGTCTCAGCAGGAGGACCCTCTCCATGTAGGCTGGGTCGAGGACATCCCTGCCTTGCAGCTGGTTCCCAAGTGCCTCCTCCACCAGGGCCTGCAGCTTCCTCACCAGCTGGCGCCTCTGGGTCTCACTGCTCACCAGCCGCTGGAGGTGCAGCCTGTGGGGGAAGTCAAGGGGCTGACCTACTGCTGCACCCCCAGCCCACCCAAACGACTCTCCCCAGGGGGTGGGGTAGAGTTTGAAGAATGACACATCACATCACCTAAGACTTCCCTCCCACAAGCTAGAAGTAGAATTCTTTTCACATTTGTAAAAGAAAAGGGATCTGACCAAGGTCACAAACAGATAGCCTTTGAGTTCCAAGCAACCCAGAGACACCCTTTGTTCCCAGTGCTTTTAAAAGAGTAGATGACGTTTCAAACTAGAAGAAGTCACATAACAATAGACAGTTCTGGCTTCTCGTAGGCAATCAGAAAGATATGGCTGCAAAGGGCCCTCATTGTCCAAGGCTTCAGTTGGCTAGAGCAGAGTGGAGCTGCCCACGTCAGACAGACAGGAGCACCTGCTGCAGCCTTGCCTCCCAGTGCAAATGTGGCCAATGGCTTTACAACTGCCGCTTTGACTTGGACATGTCAACAATGATCTGAACTGTAACTATATCTGGAGGTTTCAAAGTGCAGAATTACTTGAAATATCAAATATATGAAATACAAACTAGGTGCCATTGAGACAGGGCTCATTCACTGTGTTGGCTAGGTAGAGGGTGATTCTAAAATGAAAATGTCTCTCTCTAGGCTTTGGACATTAACAGAACCATTCATGTATGGGGGTGGCCAGGAACATAATGCTAATGACAAAATAATACCAATCATTTATTAGGCACTTTCTATGCACCATGGCTATGCAAGATACTCTCCTCCAATACTTAATTCTTATAACAACTGCATTAAGATGGGTACTGCTGTTAGTCCCATTTTAGAGAAGAGGAAGAGGCGGCATGAAGAGGTTAGGTAACTTACCTGTTGTCACACAGCATTAGATATCAGAGGCTAAAGTCAAAATTAGGTGTCTGTGACTCCAGAGCCTACTATACCCTCTCCCGTGGGGACCGTCACCAGCAAGAAAGCCCTTTCCTACCAGGAGATTTCCATGCTCCCCACTCACCTGTTGAATTCTGGGAGCTTCTCCAGGTCCAGCAAGGCTGAGTGGCAGGTGACCCGCGTCAGGTCAAACTGTGTTATCAGCTCGGGCAGGGTTCTGCCCATCTGGTTCTCTGCAAGTGAGGCAGGCCCAGCCACTTAGCCTCCTCCCTCCCTTCCTCCTTTCACTTTCAAACACAAAGGAGGCCGACTGAGCAAGCCCTGGGCTCCTCATTCCACTCTGACCAAAGGGATTCAGCTTCTAGCTATTCATATATCAAGGGCCAAATAGACTTTCATTTTCAGAAAGAGCTCTGTCACTAAGAAAGAAAAAGCCTGAAAACAACTGAACAAAACCAATCTTCATTATCCTCAAACATGTGAGCTACTAGAACAGCATGCCCATTGCCTGGCTGCACTCCCGAGATTCTGATTCAGTTGGTTTCAGGCGGGGTCTCAGCATCAGCACATTTTACAAGCAGCAGCTCCATCCCACGCAGTCGAGTCAGGCACAGGCCTAAGGTGCTATATATCCCTTACTAACTGTATGACTTTGCCAAGTGACTCAACCTCTCTGAGGCCCACAATCCTTTTATGAACAGTGGGGATAACTCTACCCTTACCGAGTATTCGAGAATGAAATGAAATGAGAGCAGAACAGTAAGCAGACTATTACTGCCACATTTTTCAGAAATCTCTGACACAAAGAGGTCATCCTATATCACTGCTTGGTTCTTCAAGGTATGGGCTCTAAGTCTTGGGCCAAGGACGGCTCAACTTGAAATAAACTAGATTCACAGTAATACTAATAATACTCTGAGAGTACATACTTGTAATAGTAATCATATAATTGTAATTTTCATAGAATCTATAATTGTTTGTGCTTATTGTATGGCAGGTGCTATGTTGGGTGCCTTATACTCATGAGCTCAGTGAATCCTACCCTTATGAGGAGACACTTATACCCATCGTATAGATGAGGCAACTGGAGCTCAGAGACCATAAGCTCCTTGAAGGCAGGGATTATATGTCTATCTTGTTCACTGTTGTGGGCCCAGTACTGAACTTGGTGCCTGGCTCAATAAACATATGTTGCATAAAAGAATGAACTTATCCAAGATCACACAGCTGGTAGGTCTGCCTAAACCAAAGCCCCTGCTCACTCATGGCTGTGCTCTCTGGCTGGGACTGAAGATTAGGTCTGCCTAAACCAAAGCCCCTGCTCACTCATGGCTGCGCTCTCTCTGCCACTGGAACTGCTCAGCTGGGCAGGTACCTGCAAACCCCGAGCCACAGTTGGTGATGATGTCGAGCAGGGCATCGGGCAGGAAGCCGGCAGCAGCAAAGTGCTCCATGAAAATGTCCCCTTGCCGCTTGGACAGCTTGCTGCCATCCCTGTTGAGGAGCAGGGGCAGGTGGGCAAAGTGAGGTGGCTGCCACCCCAGCGCTTGGTAGAGGAGTAGGTGCTTGGAGGTGGAGATGAGCCACTCAGAGCCCCGCAGCACATGACTGATGCCCATGTGATGATCGTCCACCACGCAGGCTAGGTGGTACGTGGGGAAGCCGTCGCTCTTCAGGATGACTGGGTCTCCCTCCACACTGGCCACTTCATGCCGAGTCCAGCCATATACCAGGTCCTGGAAGCCTGGGGCTGCCTCCTCTAGGCGGAAGCGGATGGCAGGCTTGGGGTCCTTGGCCAGCTTCTGGGCCACCTGCTCCTGGCTCAGGTTCCGGCACCGATTGTCATACCTGATGGGAAGCAGAGCAGCATGAATACCATGTTGATGGACATGAGCCCTACCTTTGTCTCTGACAGCCGTGTGACGTTAGGCAAACCATTTACCTCTTTAAGCTGCTTCTTCAGTCCAGAATAGGGATGATAACATGGTTGATGTGGGGGAAAATTGAGTGAGAGAACACAGTGCGGCAAATACTAAAGTTTGCCTACCTACCAGCCATTCATTAATCCTTTTTCCTTGCTAATGAGGAAATGGCAAAATGCTTAGTCCAAAGGGTTGAATCATAATTGGTATAGCCAATCTGGCAATCCCACTGCTCTATGCCAGTGATCAGTCTGGGTAGGAATGTAACCCCACCCTCATCACTGAGACTAAAAAAAAAAAAGTATGCTTGGGGGGTAAGGAAGGGTTACAGCTCTGGAAAGGTTTTTCTCCCCAAATGAGGGTAACAAAGTCACAAGAGAAAAACTGCCTTTTAAAAATTTCCCACTTCCCCCTTCTGTCCTCTTTGGATGTTGTCCTGTGAGGGGGCACACGCTTGGAGCTGCTACAGCTACTTACAACTGAGAGAGAAAAGATAAGGAAGTCAGAGAGAGGCCAAAGTAGAGCCTGGGTGTTTCCAAGCTGCTGGTCTTATACTGGAGTCACCCACCCCCAGACTTCAGGAGAATGAGACAAATGTCTGTGTGGTTAATACCCTGCCTACTCAGATTGTGGTCTGTGGACACCCAGCATCAGTTGCACCTGGGAGTTTGTCAGAAATACAGACTCTCAGGCCCTAGGGACCTACTGAATGAGAACCTGCATGTTAACTAGGTCCCCAGGTGATGCATCTGCATGTTAAAGTATGGTTTGTCACTTTTAACAGAGTATTATGTTACCCACACCCAAAAGTGTCCTGAGACACACATGTAAAGTTTGTAAGCTTGGTCCTTGACATAGCTAAGTGTTCCATCAACAAATAGCTGCATGGATTCCACAATAGGGCTTGATCATAATTTTAAAAAATAATCTTCTGTCAGTGGACAAGTATATACATTGTTTATAATAAAAAAGCAATAGTACACTGAATGCCATGACCTTGTACAAACATCTGAGCCCCTCTACAAACAGTTCATTGGAACTGGAATGCAAATGTTATGATGCTATTGCTGATGGCGGTGTAACTAGTACAGGAGCCAGCCATGTAGCAGTGTCTAGAAAGGCTACAAACTGTTCCTGCAATTCCACCTCTATGAAAGTATCCACCAACACACTGCACATGTGCAAAATGATGCTGTCAGTGCTACTTATCACAGCTCTCTTTTTTTATAAGAAGAGATTAGAAATGAATGACATAAATGTTCATTAACAGGGAATTAAGTAAATGGTGGTATACACATACAATGGAATATTATGTAAGCATAACGAAAAAATTATGGACCGATAAGGAACTGATCCTAAAGACAATAAATGGGAATGGTAAGTTGCACAATATATTGTGTGCATAGTACACTACGTGCTACTATTTGAATGGGGAAAAAGAGGAAATAATACGCACTTATCAGCATATGCGCTGAATCTCTCTGGAGGAGACAGAAACTTCTAATATCGTTTGTCTCTAGAGAGCAGAAATGAGTGGCCAGAGTCAAGGTTGGGAGAAAGATCTTTCAACATATGTCTTTCTGGGCCTTTTTACTTATTTGTTTTTTCATAAGAGATAGGGTCTTGCTATATTGCCCAGGCTGGAGTGCAGTGGCTATTGACAGGTGTGATCATAGCCGCACTGCAGCCTCAAATTCATGGCAAGTGATCCTCCCACTTCAGCCTGGTGCAAAGCTGGGACTACAGGCACATCCCACCACACCTGGCTCTTTCTGGACCTTTTAAATACAAAGCATAAGAAAATTTCACTTATTCAAACTAAAAAGTAATTAAAATTACTTTACATGTTACTGCCTGAGACCCAATGAGGCAGGCAGCTTCTGACACAGCCCTCAGTGATCCCTGTCTCTGCCCTTGTGCAATCCCTCCCCTTGAGTGTGGCCTGATGAACAGAATATAGGTCGAGCATCCTTAACCAAAAATGCTCCAAATCCACAACACCATAATGCCACAAATGGAAAATTCCACACCTGACCTCATGTGATGGGCTATAGTCAAAACTTTGTTTCATGCACAAAATTATTAAAAATATTGTATAAAATTCCCTTCAGCCTATGTATATTAAAGGGTATATGAAACATAAATGAGTTTCATGTTTAGACTTGAACCCCATCCCCAAGATATCTCATTATATATGGAGATATGCCAAAATTCTAAAAAAATTGAAATAAAAACACTCCGGGTCTCAAATCTTTTGGGTAAGAGACACTCAGGCTGTGAAATGAAAATGGTGAGATGTCACTTCCATGACTGGGTGGATTCCAGCTCCCTGGCTGACTCTGAGGAAAGCCAGCTGCCATGCTGTGAGCTGCCCTACAGAGAGGCCCATGCGACAAGGAACTGATGTTTCTAGGCAACGGCCAGCAAGATCCTGAGGTTTGCCTATAGCCCTGAGAGACAAGATGGAAGCAGACCCTGTTGGAACTGAGCCTTGAGATACCTGCAGGCCTAGCCAAGACCTTGACTGCAGCTTTGAGAGAACCTCTGAGCCAGTGGACCTGGCTAAGCCGTGCCCAGATGCCTGATTCATAAACTGGGAGGGGCCGGGCATGGTGGCTCATGCCTGTAATCCTAGCACTCTGGGAGGCTGAGGCGGGAGGATCGCTCAAGGTCACGAGTTTGAGACCAGCCTGAGTGAGAGCTAAACCCTGTCTCTACTAAAAATACAAAGAAATTATCTGGACAACTATATATATATATATATATAAAATTAGCCGGGCATGGTGGTGCATGCCTCTAGTTCCAGCTACTTGGGAGACTGAGGCAGGAGGATCACTTGAGCCCAGGAGTTTGAGGTTGCTGTGAGCTAGGCTGACACCATGGCACTCACTCTAGCCTGGGCAACAGAGTGAGACTCTGTCTCAAAAACAAGCAAACAAAAAAGAATAAATATCAAATTAAAATAAACAAACAAACAAACAAACTGAGAGGTAATTCAAGTTTTGGGGTAACATGTTACACAGCAACAGATAATGAACACACCCAACTTTGGGGAGGCATCAGTGACAGGTGGGGGCTTTTACCGGGGCGTCTGGCGGTTCCGCAGGGCCTCCTTCTTCAGGAGCTCCAGCCTCTGTGGGGAGCAGAAACAGGGGTAAGCAGCTCCAGTCTTCAGCAGTGCTTCCGTGGCCTGAGCATACAGCTCCAGCCGCTGAGATTGCTGGTAGGGCCCAGCAGGACCTCCTCGGCGGGGGCTCTCATCAGGGGGGATGCCTGAAACACAGGTCAAGAGACTCATTATCAAATAATGACAACTAAGATGCAATAGCACTCATTCCCATATAGTAAAGCTTTATCTTCACAGTAATCCACAAGGTCAGCACTATTGCGATGTCCCCTTTAGAGATGAAAATTTAAGGCACAGAGCAGTGAGGTCTTCAAGGTCACACCAGAAGTCAGTCACCCTGGGGTGCCTGTATACCTGCCCTCTGCCTTTCCAAAATGCTGGGGTTGGGGACTAACTCCGCTAAGGCACTGCAGGCCTCATTCACACAACTATGCCACCCCAGGAGCTCCATGAGTGCAGGACCCATCGGCATCATGCATCAGTGTACCTCTCGTGTCTGGGACAGTGCCTGACACAAGCAAGTGCTCTGTGAAATTGAAACTCTCATCTTGGCCCACATGGCACTATGTGATTTGGTTCCTGCCAATCCCTGTCCTCACAGCCGTGGTCATTCTGCTTTGCTTACCATGCTAAACCACACTCACCTCCTCGCTGCTCCTGAAATATGCCAGGTACTTTCCTTCTTTGAGGTCTTTGCATCTGCTATTCCCTTGCTTTGAACATTCATACCCTAAGTAACCATGAGGCTGGCCCCTCAATTCATGCAAGTCTCTGCTCCAACATCACCTCCTCAGAGGAGATCACCCTAATCTAAAATGGCAACCTTCACCCTGGTTCCCCAACCCATTACCCTTTTCTCCATGCTGCTTACCATCACTTAATACTATATTAAGAATAAATCAGTCTATTTAACTGTCTTCCCCTTCTCACTGAGTGCAGGTCTCTACTCCACGTCCCCAGCACCTAAAATAGGTGCCTGGATCACAGCAAGTGATCTTGTTGAATAAATTCTTTTTCTGAGACAGTCTCACTCTGTCACCCAGGCTAGAGTACAGAAGCATCATCATAGCTCACAGCAAGTTCAAACTCTTATGCTCCAGTGATCCTCCTGCCTCAGCCTCCAGTAGCTTATGCTACCACAGGCACATACCACCATGCCTAGCTAATTTCTCTACTTTTTGTAGCAATGGGCTCTTGCTCTTGCTCAGGCTGGTCTGGAACTCCTAGCCTCAAGTAATACTCCCACCTTTGCCTTCCAGACCACTGGGATTACAGGTGTGAGCCACCATGCCCAGCCAAATAAATTTTTTTATTCAACAAACCTCGACTGAGTATCTGCTAAAACCTTCTACAGCAGAAGACAGAAATGAAATCAGTTTCTGCCCTTTAGGAATTCAGAGCCTAGTAAATAATTTACCCGAGATTAGAGTACACATCTCAAAATAGTTTTGGTAGTTTTTTGGGGGGATCTTGACCTTTCCTAGTCATACCTGTCCCTACAGGTAGGCAACTGTTGACTCAGGAAAGGCAAACACTTCTCCTTGTTCTCCCTGAACTTAGCTGTCCTCAGGATTAAACTTCCCACAAGATCAACTTCAGAAGCTGCACATGTTTTGTTTGGCTTATACGATGTGGTTAAAAAACCAAATATGAACCTAGAGTTAACAATGATAAGTATTCATCCAAAAAAATCTGGATTTGTGGCACCTCTTAGAACTCAGAAGATTGGACAAACTGGGCCAGCATTCCCACACAGGGCCAAGGAGCTGGAGCTTGGAGGTGCTGCCACTTTTGGACAAGGCATGCTTTCTCCTGCTCCCCATAGGCCTTGCTCCTCCAGTTCCCACTTGGCCTGTATTTCCTGCCTGGCCCCTATAGGCATTGGACTTGAGATTCTGAGATATAAGATCAGGAATCTCAAAACAGCCTTGGAGCTTTGGTGGCACCTGCCACCCCAGGTAGCACAATTGGACCCATTTCTCCGGGAACTCCTTGTTCTCTACCCTGGACCCCAGGAAATGATCTACAGGCTCCTTTCCCCACTTCCTGTTCACTCATTAGAGAAGAGACCTTTCCCTGCCAGCCTCACCTGCCCACTCCAGCATGTCTTCAATATTTTCCCCTGCCCCAGGCACAAGGCGGGTCTGATCTGTGTCCTCCAGCCGCAGGATGAAGCTCCCTTGGTGCTTCTTGGCAAAGATATAGTTGTACAGGGCCGTGCGGAGGCCGCCCAGATGTAAGAAGCCTAGTAGAAGAAGAGACCAACTCAGACAAGACAGGGGAGATGAACTAACAGGCCTTAGCTGAGGGGCAAGTAAGATCTGCTCATAACAGAACATTCCAACAAATTTCAAAGACCAAGAAACAGCTGCCCCTGTCCCATCTTTCCAGCCAGCATCCAGACAGCCAAACCACCACAGAGTAGGACTCAGTGGTTGACTTGTTTAATTCCTCATACTGGAAGTAGAAGACTACCCAGGTTTTGGAGCATGCCATTTTGTAAAAAGGCTCCAAATGCACCTATTTCTCTACTTTGAAACTTGGCCTTCTAAAGGCCAAGTTTCATTCAAAGGAAGAGAGGCAGAACATTAGCCATTGAAGCCATATTATACATGCATTTAACTTATTCGAATTCAATGATGTGCTCTGGGGAAAAAGATAATTATAAATTCAAAATACCATTAAATCACACTTTGCATATTCACTACATGCAGTATACATGACTATTCATATCATACACTTTAAGTGCTGGTATTATGTTTTTTATTTTCATGTTACGGGGGACGAGGGGGCTCATGGAGCCCTGAGTGAGCCCAGACCATGCATGCTCCAGTGCTAGCTTTAAACACCCTAAGTAGTAAGTGATTCCATTATATTTCTCTTCACTAGAGTTCAAACTCATAAGATTTTATTTTTCCACTATTCCTGACTGAAAACTTGAAATTAGCAGTTTCCCAAGCTGTCACTGCCGCCTTATTTTATCTTTTTGGACCAACCCACAGTCCTAAGTCTCCAGAATGGGCTCATTTCCATTTCCAAGTATAGAAGGCAGCACAAGAGAGGAAAAGCTCTTCTGGCTTCAGGCAGACCCTGTTCCAACACTGATTATATGTGTGACCTTTGGCCAGTTATATTGTAAGGCCACCACAAAACCAATGGTGTTCTGTGGCACCTGGTCCCAGGAGTCCCCAAGACCGTAATTGAAAGCAAGTCCTCTTACATCAAATACACTTTGATTCAGTAATTGAAAGCAAGTCCTCTTACGTCAATCATACCTGGATTTAGTAATTGAAAGCAAGTTCTCTTACGTCAAATGTACCTGGATTCAGTAATCGAAAGCATGTCCTCTTACATCAAATACACCTGGATTCAATAATTGAAAGCAAGTCCTATGTCAAATACACCTGGATTCAGTAATTGAAAGCAAGTCCTCTTATGTCAAATACACCTGGATTCAGTAATTGAAAGCAAGCTCTTACATCAAATACACCTGGATTCAGTAATTGAAAACAAGTCCTCTTACGTCAAATACACCTGGATTCAGCAATTGAAAGCAAGTCCTCTTACGTCAAATACACCTGGATTCAGTAATTGAAAGCAAGTTCTTACATCAAATACACCTGGATTCAGTAATTGAAAGCAAGTCCTCTAACATCAAATACACCTGGATTCAATAATTGAAAGCAAGTCCTCTTATGTTAAATACACCTGGATTCAGTAATTGAAAGCAAGTCCTCTTACATCAAATATACCAGGATTCAGTAATTGAAAGCAAGTCCTCTTACATCAATCATACCTGGATTCAGTAATTGAAAGCAAGTCCTCTTACATCAGATACACCTGGATTCAAATTCTGCATCCACCATTTACTATTTACCTCTTGGAAACTCTACTTAACTTTTACGGGCTTCAATAGCCTCATCTATTAGTAGGATTCGAAGCAAAAATAGGAACCCTCCTTATTATGTGGTTGCTGTGAGGTCTAAATACTGACCAAAGTAAACCCTCAATTAATTTTAGCTACTATAATTAGATCTATGTGCTTGATAATTCTTATTTGTCTGTTTATAGTCAACAGCCTTTCCTATAAGGACTTTTCCTGCAAATCAGCAAATAAATGAAAATTGTAATCACCATAATAGACGCTGTTTATTAAGTGCTTTCTATGTGTACCAGACCTTGCTAAGTGGCTCAATTGAATGAGCTGAAACAATGAGACAGGTGCTCTTATTAGCCCTGTTTGACAGAGTAAAACCGAGGCTCAGATACATTAATTTGCCCAAATTACACATCTAGGACATGGCAAAGAAATTTAAGTCCAGACAATCCCAGGCCTTGGCATTCTACATACTCTCTCAAAGCAAGGGTACGCAGTCCAGTGCTGGTCTGAAAACTGTTTCAGTTTCTATACTTGTTTGTGAACTGACGAGTAAAGGTTTAGGAGCTTACAGCAAATTCACAGAGTGATTTTATGTCTGCTGAACCTAATAAAGAGAAATGGTTTGCATTTTGTATGTTTCCCAAATGTTCATTTTTCTGGTAATTCACTTATGTTAACTTTATACAAATATTGACGCACAATTGATTGTAAATTAAAAACCAGTGCTTTCACCACAGATGGTTTGAAAAGCACTGTTCTATGCTATACTGCCTGCCCAGAAATAGCCTATCACTCTGCACAGCTGGGATCTTGCCATAAAGATCCTTATGTGCTACCCCGGGACGGGTTGTAACGAAGAGCATGCTCCGTGTGGTCAGGGCAGAAGACAGCCTTGGTAAGAAGAGAATGTCGTAAACTGGTGGGGAGGCCTTGACAAGATCTCCAACAGGCTATACGATGGGCCTCTGCCTACCTCAGGCTTGCTAAGCTCCCAACACCACTAACCACAGGTCCTTTACACCTGCAATTTCCTCTGCCCAAAGTGTTCCTTCTAGACTCTAGAAGGCTTCACATAGCTGACTCCTTGTCATTTGGTTCACTGCTCAAATGTTTATCTGTTCAGTAAGGCCTTCCTGAGCATCCTTCCGAAGCCCAGTCTACTACCCTGCTTAGTTTCCCACACGACACGTGACTCTAAAATGACACTTATTTTTATAGGCGTTTGCCGCGGCCACTAGAATGTAGGCTTCTTGAGAACAGGTGCCCTAATTTTCTCAACAATCGCTGTATCCCTGTTCCTGCAACAATACCTGGCACATAGTTGGCGATCAACACACATTCACCGCATACATGAAAAAAAGAGACCAAAATAAATGCTTTAGTACAAATAACAGAAATTCACGGCAATATAAATCACTTCCACTCGTGGACCTCAGCTTCTGCCTCTGTGAAATGGGGTCGCGCAGCCCACCGACCCACCCAGTCTGACTCCACCGGAAGGGATTCACGCGGGGACATTTCAGGGGCGGGGACGGGACAGTGGGCTGCGGCCTGCAGCGACACGTCCCCCAAGGTTACCTGTGGGGCTAGGGGCGAACCGTACTCGCACCGCAGCTGCGGGATCAGAGCCCAGGCTGGCCTCGCGCAGTCCCACCCGGCAGCCCAAGGCCGCCGAGGGCCTCCCGCGCCTCAGCAGCTTTTTCAGTAGAGCCGCCATGTGGGAGGTACCGCACACGTGGGCTTCGCCTTGCATCACTTCCGGCGACACCTCCCAGCCAATTCACCTCCACCACAGCGAAGGTAGCCCCGCCCCTTAAAGTCGCAGGCCTCCTGGCGCGAAAGCCCACGCCGCCCTGGACGGCTGCGGCCCCACTCAGCCACTAGGGGGCAGAGCTCACGAGCGGGCGATTTCCCGGACCCGCCCCCCTGGGCTCGGGAAAGCTAAAGCGTGGCAGGGGCCGGGCCGGGGAAGCGGAGGAGGCGGGTCTCCATAGAAACCTCCACCTGTTTCCGGCCAGGCTGTGAGAGATTAGGGGCTGCAGCGGGGGCCAATCTCAGCCAGCTCGCCTCTTCCCAGCGGCCTCTGCGGGAGTGGTGGGTGTTGTACACAATCATCATGGCGGCGGCCGGGGCCCCGGATGGTGAGTGCGGAGGGGGCGGCGGGCGCCTGGCTGGGGCCGAGGTTGCGGGCGACGCGTCGGGGGATGCGGCCTGGCCCCGGAGGGAGGAGCGTGGCTCGGGAGCAGTGGTCCGGCGGCGCCCGGGCAGAGTCCGGTCCCAGGCCCAGCCCGCGGCGAGCGCCCACCCCCTAACCCCCTTGCAGGCATGGAGGAACCTGGCATGGACACGGAGGCCGAGACGGTGGCGACCGAGGCGCCCGCGCGGCCTCTCAACTGCGTGGAGGCCGAAGCCGCGGCGGGGGCGGCGGCCGAGGACTCCTGCGCCGCGCGAGGCAGCCTGCAGCCGGCCCCGGCCCAGCCCCCTGGGGACCCCGCGGCCCAGGCCTCGGTCAGCAATGGCGAGGATGCGGGCGGCAGCGCAGGCAGGGAGCTGGTGGACCTGAAGATCATCTGGAATAAGACCAAGCACGACGTGAAGTTCCCCCTGGACAGCACAGGCTCCGAGCTAAAACAGAAGATTCACTCGATTACAGGTAATCCCGAAGCTCTGACAGCCAGCCTTACCCATTCCGTTTGTTCATTAATAGTGCTTATATTGTACTAGGCACCATACTGGCCCTTTCCTTGCATCAGCTCTCTCAGTCTTCAGAAGGATACTTGAATGCCCATTATTATTCAGATGGGGAAAGAGATCTAAGATCATAGAGCTTGTAAGTGACTGAGTTAGGATTCAGAGCCAGGACTGACAATTAGCCTGAGCTTCTCACTAATGTTGCCCTAGCATCTCGTAATAAAAAAATCACCTAAGGCCCTCGTTAAATATACAGCTCCTGGGCTCTTCCCCAGGAGATTCTCATTCAGTGGGTCTGGGATGTAGCCAGGGATTTATTTTTAGCAAATATCTTAGGTAATTCACATAAGGGAAGTTTAGGAAACACTGCTATTAACTATCATGCTGGCCCTTCACATTTGTTCGTATTTCTTAATTTTATCTTTATAGTGCTTTGCCATTGTGCCATATGAAATGATTTTCTTTTTTTTTTGAGCTTTCCACTTGTAGCCTGTGAGGTCCATAAGAATAGGAACTTTGTATTGGTTTCTGTATCCCCGATGCCTGTGGATTCTCACTTAATGTTCAAGTAATCAGATGATTGAGGAGTAACTTGGAAATAATGAGAGCTAGTATTTATTGAACAATTATGGAATACCAGGCGAGACACTAAGTGCTCTGTGTCCTATCTCTTAATCCTTAAAACAAGTCTATCACTTTTATGAAGTTCTGGAAATTGAGCCTCTGAAGGTGTGAATTGCCCAAGTTTACAAAGCTAATAGCTGGTAGAGCCGGTGATCACTTACTAGTCTGTTACAGAAAGGCTGTGCACAGTCCATATGTTTTTTTGTTCCTTCCTTTCACTGTCTACCCTCTACCTTTTCCCAAGGTCTCCCTCCTGCCATGCAGAAAGTCATGTATAAGGGACTCGTCCCCGAGGATAAGACATTGAGAGAGATAAAAGTGACCAGTGGGGCCAAGATCATGGTGGTTGGCTCCACAATAAATGATGTTTTAGCAGTAAACACGCCCAAAGATGCCGCGCAACAGGATGCAAAAGCCGAAGAAAACAAGAAGGAGCCTCTCTGCAGGCAGAAAGTGAGTCCGTTGTGTGCTTGTTGGTCCTGAGAAATTTGAGGCTTTGTCCTCTTGAGCCTTGGCTGGTTATATTCTCCCTAGAATAAGCTCCTTTTCGGACAGGGCCCATGATGGAAATTTATGGCAGCAGTTGGGTGCGGCAGAGTGGAGGTGACAACTACCTGAGATTTGCAACTTTGTCTCATCTGGCGGGTCAGTGTGTCTCAAGTCTACCTACTTTAGGATAAGGCCTTGGTAAAGGGAGGCTTCAGACCAGGTGTTGAAAGGAATTATGGGTTTCTCTCTCCTATTTAGTGCCAGAGGAAAATGCAGTACTACAAGTAAGCCCTCATTCTGTGTAAGTGCTTACATTTGTATTTTGGTTTGTGGCTTCCCTCAAGTCAACAAGCCTGGTTTTGGATAGGCATGGAAATCAAAAACTTTCAGAGGTTCCTCTAAAACTGAGCATTTCAGGAAGCCAAATGAAGCTGACTAGGAAAATAACTACACTGATTTTTATTTTTGTCCTCATTCTCCTTGAAATAAGGGCCTGATTTTTCACATTTTTTGTTGCTTGTTTTGAATGGAAGAGATCCAGTCTTGTCTTATGTTCATAATAGCCATTAAAATTCTTTTTATAATTAAGAAAAGTGAGATTATTTTACTATAGAAGGAAGAGGTTGGAAGAATCATCACTTAGGTTCTTATCACCCAGTGAATCCTCATTGCTGCCTCCCTAACCCTTCTTGGAAGATGGTCTAGGAAAACAGGTGTTCTCAACTTAACCTACGTCCTGAGTAGAGTAGATGAACTTGAACCAACATGGTTTTAGTGATCATGAGCACTAAGATACATGACCAACAGTAGAAGGACACTATTTGGGGTTATAGATCCATATCATCTATGTGTGCTTCAAGAACCCAAAAGTAGTCTGAAAATCAAAAGTCTCTTTATAAATTTGGCAGCAAAATCTTACCAGAATTAGTATGAGTATTCATATTTTGCTGTAGAAAAAAAAATTTCTTATGAGACAGGGTCTCACTCTGTTGCCCAGGATGGAATGTAGTGGTGTGATCAGAGCTTAAATGATGCTCCCACCTCAGACTCTCGAGTAGTTATAACTACAGGTGCATGCTACCATGCCTGGCTATTTTTCAATTTTTTTGTAGAGATGGTGTCTCCCTATGTTGCCTTGGCTGATCCTAAATTCCTTGCCTCAAGTGATCTTCCTGCCTCGGCTTCCCAAAGTTCTAGGATTACAGGTGTGAATCACCTTGCCCTACCCTACTATAGAAATACTAATGTGTTTGCTGGCAAGGTTCTGCCCCAGAACCGATGGAGGTTATTATGTATTTTAAAGCTATATTATCATTATAAAACTCCTAAAACACTTAAGTCCAAAACATCTGTCTATAAGATTTCAGAAAAGAGATCGTAAACCTATATTGACATCTAAAAGATATTTAGACACTTTTGACTCTTATGACATCCTAATGTTTTATAACTGATTCGAGTTTATTTCCATTTTCCTGGCTTTCACTGCCATGTGTATGAAATAGTTAAAATGTGAGCATGTCAGATGTCAGTGAGCATTCCCACTGCTCACACCCTTGGAGCATAACATGCCTCTTAAATATAGGGTTTGAGTTACTAATGGTAGCTTAGCAGACATACAGCTGTTCTTCACAGTGCAGGGAAAATTCTTCAAAAGGTACTAGTAAGATATGACTCAAATCTTTCAACTCATGCTGCTCTGTTGCATTGATGCCAGTTTTGAGGCATAACCTGGCCTAATGAGGGATACAGTCCCTTTGCTATTTATCTGCTTGTTAAGGAATCTGAGGCTGATGTCTAGAGTGACTCTTTGTTGCTAGCAGCCTGGCAGTGTTGAGTTTATTCTTACCAGAGGGTTTGTGCCATGCCAATGAGGCTTTAGGCTGGCTCGTGGCCACCTGGTGATTAAATTTGATTAAATTTTTACCCTCTACTCATTCATTGCCCCATAGTTCAAGCTTTACCAAGCCATGACTGTATCTATAAAGACACAGATGGAGAGGCCAGGTGTGGTGGCTATCACCTCTAATCCTAGCACTCTGGGAGGCCGACGGGGGAGGATAGCTTGAGGTCAAGAGTTTGAGACCAACCTAAGCAAGAGTAAGACCCTGTCTCTACTAAAAATAGAAATATTAGCTGGGTATCATGGTGCACATCTGTAGTCCCTGGAGGCTGCAGTTTGGAGGCTGAGGCAAGAGGATAGTTTAAGCCCAGGAATTTGAGGTTGTAGTGAGCTGTGATGATGCCATAGCACTCTACCCAGGGTGACAGAGCAAGATTCTGTCTCAAAAAAAACCAAAACAAAACACAAAGGGAGAGGAGATAAGACTCAGGCATTTGGTCTAGGCAAGAGAGCTGTTTTAAGGGGTCATGACCTTAGAACCCTTAATGGGCTGCCCCCAATCCTCAGGGTTGGGGGTGGGGTAGAATTAGAGGCTTCTTAAGGTCAGGTTTTAGAGTAATCAGCATTTCTGTTTGGAATGGTGCATCTTCACACTTTCTGCATAGCTGGGGTTGAGGGTAGGGCAGTGGAGAAGACTTCTGCGATGGTTTCGTCTCCATTTGTTGATGAACTGCCCCTTGTAGGCAGTTAGGCTGATTACCAGCATCTTGTATTCTTCAGGAGTTTTGGTTGACTGGTGGCTGCCATTTTCTACCTGCCAAGGGAGCAACACCCTTTGTGACTCTCTGCAGCTTGATGTTTAATACTTTCAGTGGTGATTGTTTTTGAGGAGGAGAAGGGCAATCTGGAAATCCTGTTTGCTCTAGAACTTTGATATCTAATATGGTAGCTACATGTGCCTGATTAAAATTAAATAAAATTAAAAAATCAGTTCCTCAGTCATAGTAGCCACATTTCAAGTGCTTAATAGTCACAAGTGAGTAGTGGCTAGCACAGGTATGGAACACTCTTGTCTTTGCAGAAAGTTCTGCTGGGTAGCCCTGCTTTATAATATCAAAAGACCCATAGTTTGTAAACATTAAAAGCTTTTCAATCAAAACATGAAGGCTTTTTTCATCCTATATTTCAGAGGGATAGTAACATGACTAAAATGTAGTCAACTGTTTCATTTCATTCTCTCCTGATTTATGTTATAGCAACACAGGAAAGTGTTGGATAAAGGCAAGCCTGAAGATGTGATGCCGTCTGTTAAGGGTGCCCAGGTAAGCTGGGATTTCTCTCTGGACATTCTGAAAACAAGCCATTCCCATCTTCTGACTTCCTGAGATTCCTGTTATCGTGACCTTGAGTCCTGTTCCTTTTCTTTTGTTTTAACTGTCCCTCTACTTCTTACCATGCTCTTGTGCCTCCAGGAGCGCCTGCCAGCAGTACCCTTGTCTGGCATGTACAATAAGTCCGGAGGAAAAGTGAGACTCACCTTTAAGCTAGAGCAAGACCAGCTGTGGATCGGCACTAAAGGTACGTTATCCCTCTCATCCTCCTGGCTCGCTGCCTGCCTCCAGCACCTAGCAGCACTCATTCCTGAGTGCAACTGTGTTCCTCATTCTCAAACCCCTCTCTCTTCACTCACTGTGCTTTGCGTGCTTCTGGCTTTGGAATTTGCTTTTAGATGCTCGCCTTTTGTTTGGACCCTTTTCCCTGTTCTTTTTCTTCTAATCTCAGGGCCAGTCCATCAAACATTGGCTCTTCAGTTGCATACAAAACCAGAGGTCCCAAAAGTTTGGCCCAAGGTCTGGTCCTCAGACAAGGGTTTTATGGGGTTACACACAATGTATAAAAATCAGGAGATTTCACTTAATCTGATTTTTTTTGGCTTCTCTTGAAAAAAATGAAATGATCTGGCCATTTGGGGCCTGCGTTCTCACATGGCATTCTCATAGTGGAGCCAAGTAGTGGATTCCAGTGGGCTGCAGTCCTTGTGGTCCTATGTATTTTATACATAGCCAGCTTCGTTCATTTATATCATCTGCCTGGCCCCTGTAGGTCAGAGTTTGACCCTGTAGTAGGTGAAGGCTTCCTACCCGCTGCCTAGGAACCTGCCTTTCCCTACCTGCCTGGTTGTCCTCTGTTTGCTTCACCCCTGCACGATATTTGGACCAGCTTTGCTGTTTGCTGAGAAGTCTCTGTCCTCTCTCTCCCTTCCCCCAGATGGTTACAAAGTCCTGTTAGTTACACTCCAGAATTGTCTGTCCCTTTCTTTGCCACGCTATTGTGCCAGTTGAGGCTCCTTGCATCTTTAAACTTGGTCTGTTCAAAGCACGTTAACCTGTTTCCCTGCCCCATCTATGTTTTCTTCTGTCCTGTCCATCTTGCATACTGCTTTTTGTCACTGGTTCCTGTGCTCAGAAATTTTTGGCTCTCTAAGGCCAAGTTCAAATGCCTAACCATAGTGTTCCATGTTCTCAACAATGGGTCCCAGTTTCAATTTTCAACCTAGCTTCCTGCCCTGTTTCCCCTGTGTATTTCAGCTGCACCACTCCCTGACCTTCCGAATATGCTTTGCACAGCTCCTTGTTATTGCTCGTTCTGTGCCCTCACCTGGAATGTCTTCTTCCCATTCCTTGTTATTAATAAAATCTTCAAGGCCCTACTTAAATGTCCTCTTCTAATGAAGCCTTCCCTGATATCTACCCCACCCTCCAAATGAATTGCTGCCGCTTCTGTTCATAGAGCACTCCATTTATATCCCCAGAGCACTCACTCATTACTCTCTGACTTGTCTGTCCCCCTGTTAGATTCCTGGAGGGAACCGAACATGCCTAATTCACCTGTTTCTGGCCAGCACTGTAGGTATTCAGTGTTCGAGGTAAATGCTACAGAGAAGTATAGGGGGTCCCATTCTTTGAGGTTAATTGGTTTCAGGGACAGGCCATTTAGTATGACTCCACTTAAAATGGGACCAAACTTTTATGGAAAATAATCGGGGCAGGGATGGTGGGGAGTGAGACTTTTGCCATCTAAAACACAAAAACAAGTTTCTTGTTTTCAAACCTATGCTGGTTCTTAAAATGAACAAAGATTGAAATGCCAAAAACACTTGAGTCTTCTAACAATTTTATGATAACTTGCTATATTCTTCACTTCACATTCAATTCTAACTGCATGGTCAAAGCAAGTTTTGCAAAATATTTAAGGGTTTCCCCAATTTTTCCAAGATTCATGGAACCCTTTGCTAGATCATTTTCTTCTGCAGAGCCTGTCCCATCATCCCTTGTCAGTAGTTAGCTACCTGGCCTCTATTGACTTTGCAGGTGATTTTGCTTAGTTCTCTATCATTGCATTCACTTGCTGAAATGCATAGACTCCCTGCCTCTTGCTAGACTTCTACTTTTGCTTGTGGGCAGTCCAATTTAAGGCAGTTGCTAAGGCTGATCTGGGAAGACACTACCAGGAGGATAGGTTTAGGCAGGAGGCTGTAGATAGGGGACTAAGTCTCTAAGTACTTGTTGGTTCCTCAGGGAATATTTTTGTGTTACGAAGTTGTGTAGGGAGCACATCATAACCACAGGGACTGATAGCATGAGAACCTTCTGAACCTCTGTTATAGGCTTTATTTTAGCTGGTAGGAGCAGCCTCCTCCTCACTTTGGCATGAAGGCAGAGCTCTAGATAAAGCTTGATGTGTTGGGGCTTCTCAGTTATTGAATGTCTCCTTATCAGCCTTGTTGGGGAGCATGGCCATGAACCACTCATGTCTTCCAAGGTTGACCAAGGCTGAGACTTTCCTTCCCACCCAGGGCAGTGTACCTCTGGAGCCCAGGGGGCAGGCACTCTTCCCACTTGCCTAGAAGTCCTGTCACCTGAGTGTCATAAGTACTCAGAGGAGGACAGCTTGTTCTGAGAGTTGGCTACTGGCCACTGGCTTCGTCTTTCTGCTGGCAAGAAGCTGCTGTGCTGTGCAGTGACCATCCCAGCAGCTGGTTGGCCTCTCCATGGGTGCTTTGCTGAGTAAGTTTCCCTCAAGGGCTGCTCCTCAGCTTAAACTTTCTGTGCCAGCTTGCATAGGAGGCGGTAGAACTGACCGTCTCGAGCACAACAGAGCGATAAGAACAAGCTCCAGGCAGGAAATGTGAAGGGGTGAAGCTGCCAGGGGAGAGTGTGTGCCCTGATTGTAGGGGGGTGTAACGTAGCTGATAGTCTAATCTAAGGAGCAGGAATGTGCATCCAGAATTGTCCAGTCTTAGAAGTTTTCAAGAGAAGCCAGAAATCTATATTTTTGTGTGAAATCTCCAAATGTTTCAAGATGAAAGGTGTTTTAAAAGTTTCAGTCTTAAAGACAACTGCTGGTCAGGTCCTGCCTGGGGACCACTGTTTTAAAGCCACTAAAAATCAAAACCTAAACATTTTGAGGTCCCTTCTCCCTGACCCCTGGTTTTTGAGGGGGCCATGGCCCACAGAACGGAAGTAAAATGTCTTAAGTCACCAGCTAGATGAGAACCCAGGTCTCTAAATTCTTAGTCTTTTTTTGTCAACTGACCTATTTTCAGATTCTCCCTTTCCTGACTTTTCTTTCTGTAAAGGCTGTAATGAGTTTTTTTTTTTTCAACTTGATTTAACTGTTTGCTGAGAACATCCCCCTGTATCTGAAATGTCTGCTGCTTCCGGGTGGCCATTTCCTGTCGTGCAGGTGCCTCCCACCCAGTCCCGCTGTACTTGGCTCACTCCCAGCAGTCCCCTCTCACTCCAGGCATCCCTTGCTGCCTCCTCTTTCTCACCTGCCATCTTTACACTTGCCTCCAGATGTCTTCTGTCCCATATGATCAGTGGTATCTCAAGTGTTGATCTCAAGAGGTTATAAATGTTTCCAGAGAACTTCATAAAATGTGTGACTATGGAGGGGTGGGGGGCCCCCGGAGGGAAGGGGGCAAGGAAGCAGGATCGTGGGATGGAAACTTGTCTTAAAGCCAAGCATTCCCTTCTCCTTGCAAGAGCCACAGGGGAGCACTCTTGCCTCTTTGTTCTTAGGCCTCCTGACTCTCCCTGTCCTGGGCACCCCAAGACCTTAGCCAATGCTGGGCTTGGGTAAAAGGGTACAAAGAGTTTCTTGGGTAATTTTTAATCATCAAACTTTAAAAAATAATATTAGAGACAGTATCTCCACTCTCAGAGACCTTTACTATATCATTGCCAAATCCTGTTTCCCATTTGCTTCTAAGGAGTTCCTAGCTCCCAAGCAGGGCTCTAGGTACACTGATCAGAAGATCCTGTCCTGTTGTCCCTAGAGGGCATGGTGCCAGTCACTTAACTGTAGATCCCACAGCCACCAGCCCTGACAAGGGACTGCTGAATGAGAGGAGTTAGAACGGGAGGGCCTTTGAATAATCACTGTAATCCCTCTCAACTTAGAGCGGACTGAGAAATTGCCCATGGGCTCCATTAAAAATGTGGTCAGTGAACCTATCGAAGGACATGAAGACTACCACATGATGGTAAGTAGCGCTGGCTGAGTCTGGCCTCTCACTAGACTCCTGCTTCTGCTCCATCTGGCAGGGAATGAATTTTTAACTGAGCTTTTTTAAGTGAAGGGAAAACTCAGTCTTCAAAAGCACTGTTTTAAGACCCTCATGTTTTCTTCATCCACTTAGAACTTGATCCATGACCCTATTTCTAGCTCTATTTTGCAAATTCCCCCAATACACCTTCCACCAGTTTATAGGGGGTATGTTTTCTTTTATCTCTTTTAGAAATGTCTCTTTGCCTCCCTCTGATTTGTAATACTTTGTTTTTAGAGTAGGGGAATAAACATAAAGAGGAGGAATGGCTTGTGGATTTTTCATTTTAAATTTTGTCTTGCCTGTAGAAACAAAACCCTCCCCTCTGCCGTGGTGTTGGTGAGGACACCAGGCAGTTTCCCTTCTGTAATGATCCTGCTCTTCCCAGGCTGTACCCACTGAGTGGCCAAGGACCCTATGTGGAGGAAGGGGGGTCTGTGAAGCCTCTGTTCTGCGTAGAATCTTCTCTGTAGACAACAGGCTGCTCTTTCCCAGGGCAGACTGTTTGGAGGCATTCTGCAAGTCTGTACAGAACAAAGCAAAGAATTCAGTGGCCTGATAAAGTGAGCAGCTTAGGCAAAGTTTCCATTTTCCCAGCACTATTTGGAGGGGATACTTTAAAAATGAAGTTGAGCTACTTGAACTCTGAAGTTGTTAGGGATGTGACCTGAGCAGTTGAGTGTGCAGGTGGGGCCATCTGCCATTCTCAGCGTCTAGCCAGTGGTGATGTAGCTACATAGGTCCCATCCCAGAGAGAAGCAGCAGCTAGTGTTTTGATGTGTGGGTTGTTGGTACCAAGAGCAGGGTAAAGGGATGTGTTAGAAGATCTTCTTGCTATAGGAGAAATCAGTCAAAGGAGCACTAAGTGTGGTGGGCTGGGGAGCCAGCCCGGTCCCCATTCTGCCCTGTCAGTGTCTGTCAGCTCAGTGGTGCAGCCACAAGGCCATAGCTGAGAGTACAGTCCCCTGGCTGTGGGGGTTCGGGGGTTTTGCCTTCTGGGAGCAATGTGGACGTCACTGGGGCTTTTTTCAGGCCCTTTGGCAGCACGTCAACCCCTACTCTCTGTGGTCTTTAAAATAAGGATTGCAAGCAGATTTGTTTGGCTTGCTTCAGTTATATTTCTGCTTTAATAGTTGGATTTTAATCATTTTAGCTGGGGCCTTTAACTCCATTTTAAATCATTTGTGCTGCTAGTTTGGCCCTGTAAGGTTTGCAGCCCCAGTTTTCAAGCTGCTTGGTGATAAGGATTACAGACAAGTTGAGTGGACCATTTTACACATCTTTGAAGGAATTGGTGTGGATGGGTAATGGCTTAGTATTTAGTTGAAATAGTCATTTCTCTCTGGAGTCCTTTATGGCAGAGAGTGTTTCCAATAATAGCCCCTTCTCTTTTCTAGACATCATTAAATAGCACCTTTACCTTTGTCCTAATGAAAGCATTTACTTCCCTCTTTTCACAGATGCTGTTTTTCTCTAGCTAGATTAATGTGTCACAATTCACAATTACAAAAGTGTGGCTGTGCTTTTTCATTTTTAGAGAAATGTTTAAAAAATACAGAAAAGAACAGAGAATAATACTATCACAAACCCATATACCATCACTGAGAAATGACAATTGTACATATTTTGTAACTTGATTTAAATTTTTTTAAATAAAAGAAATAAAATTTCCCAACAGTGACGACATCCCCACTGTCTTCCCCTTCCCGTTACCACTGTTACATGTTATGTGTGTCCTTCCCATCTATCCCTGCTTTTATTTATACATGTATCCATGAACAAGATCAAGTATTTTGTGGTGTTTCAGTTTTCATGAATGGTATCATGGTATGTATCGTTCTACAACTTGCTTTTTTTTTGGTTTGACCTTATGATCTATTACTATTAACTCTAGATCCATATGGATCTAGTCCATACCTTTATAGAAATACTTCAGTATTTATATGAATAGGCCACATCACTTTTAATTATGTATTCATTCCCTTACTGCTGGATATGTAGGTTGTTGCCAGGTTTTTATCATTTCTGTTGCTTTGAACATTCATACCTGTTTCCTTGTGCATGTGTGACAGGTGTTCTAGGGCAGTGGTTCTCAAACTGTGGTCTCCAGATCAGCAGTGCTGTATCACCTGGGAGCTTGTTAAAAGTGTCTCAGGCCCTACCCCCATCCCCCCAGACCTTCTAAATCAGAAATGCCAAGGGGTGGGGCCTGCTGATCTGTGTTTCAACAAGCCTTCTGGATGGTTCTGATATTCAAGTTTGAGGATCGCTGCTTTAGGGTTGGCTATGCTTAACCAGTTTTTTTTTTTTCTTTTTTTCTTTTCCTTTTTTGACCTGTTAGGAGAATGCTCCCCATGTGCACAGTTTTTTTTTTTTTCTTTCCTTTTTAATTCACTTCCCAACCCTCCCCCTTGTCTGTTTTTCTGCCTGCTTAGTCTCCCAACCTCTGAAGTACCGCTTGGTTTTCCTTTTTCCCTTCCAGGCGTTTCAGTTGGGCCCCACAGAAGCCTCTTACTACTGGGTGTACTGGGTTCCAACTCAATATGTGGATGCAATCAAAGACACTGTGCTGGGGAAATGGCAGTATTTTTGAAAGCACTTTCACCTCTGGCCCAGGAGACTGACCCAAAGTGAAGGACATTGCCGGGAGAGGCCTGCAGCATCCCTGGATTTCAGAGTTCTGGAACTTTGTTCAAAAAAAATCTATATTCAATCTAAGGCGATGTGGTGACTGAAGCCAGAGGTGATGTACTTTCACCATTAGCTTAATTTTAACTTAAAATCACCGGTTCCCTTTCTTGCAGTCAGCTTCATACCATTTTTAAAGTTAAAACGGTGGAAATCAATAAATTTGAATTCCGAACATGTTGTGTGGAATACTCTTAAGTGTGTTTGAGAGTAGATCTGCCAATTATGTTGAGAAGGGAATGATCAAAAGCTTTCTGGGTTTTTTTTAAGTGATTTCAACTGAAATATTTTCATAAATCTTTGGTTGCAAACATTTGGACTGCATTGTGATAAGTTGGGGTGTATTTTTTTCCTTTTTCATATAAAATTGTATGCAAAATGGGGGGGTTAGTAAGCCATATATTTCTATCCATTGATTCAGATTTAATTCTTTCCCTTTTTTCATTTTCTCACTTCCTAGATTTTAGTTTTTGTTTTAAAAACCCAAAGATGTCAGTTCCTCTTTTAGTACCTCATCAACGCTTCCTTTCCTGGGCTTCCTCCCGCCGTGCTGCTGCTGCTTGTGAACGCGCGGTGGGAGAGGAAGAGGTCTTTGGTCTTGGTCAGGGAGCTCTCACACTTGCTGTGGTGTTTGTTGAGCAGCAGAGTATCTCACAGTGACTCCTGTCTAAACGTCTTGCCCTTTGGGGCCCCCATCTCTGGGAGTTCCATTGCTGGTCTGCAACCCTCACTGAGCTTGGCTTTGAGGCTCAGCCTGGCATGGGTGTGCCTGGGCTATGTTGCTCAAAAGCCCCAGCTCCCAGGCAGACAAAGGCCTCTTCGAGGATGAGCCAGGTAGGAGATAGTTTATACAGCCACATAACCACAGATCCAGATACCTTCTTTCTTTGGAAGTTTCAAGAAATTCTTAAGCAGTCCAATGGTTATTTCAATTATGCTTCTCCATTTGGTCCTTCTGCTCATGCATTAAGTTCAAGTGTCCTTTATCCCAGGTTCAGAGATGCTGCCTTCCTCCATAAGAAGACAACTGACTTAGTGGGTTGGCCACTGTCATTTGAACAACGAAAGTGGGATAAATTGCTTTCATGATTAGCTCACCCTCTTCTGGTTTTTAGCCCTTTTGTTCTTTGTACACGTGAACTTCTGTCCATCTCCTTCTGGCTTGATTGACTCTGAAATGAGGGAAAGTCTCTTGGTGAATGATATCCTTTGTGCTGTTTGCTGTTTCTCTGCTGCTGTCTTTGCAATTCTCCTCTCACTGGTTGCAGGCTTTCATAGTACAGTTTGGCGAGAAATCTTCCAAACTTCACATTTTGGATTCTAGGCTGTTACCCCTCATTCTGTGAAATGTATTAGCATGTATTCGCCTAAGATGACTATTCCTTGTGAGCCAGTTAATGATATTCTGCGCCCTTCCCTTCTAAGCTGTAGTTCAGGAATCCAGCCCATGTAGACAGACTCTTGCTTTCTTTCCGTGGTGTAGTCAATGCCAAGTTATGCACCTGAGCAGGAAAATCTACTTTTTGCTTTTTTGGGGGCATAAGTATACATGTGAAGTGCAGTGTCCAAGAAACTGCCTGTTTTTCATACCTTGAAAAAAGGAGCGGTCATTGCAGTTTTTCTGTCCTTTTTGGCCTGCAGTTCCTGGGGAAAGAGTGCTTCTTTGCTACTTGTGCAAGCCTCCCTCTATGGGTGACAGGTCTATGGAGGAAATGATATGTATTAATAGCAAGGAGAGCATCATCTCGGTCCGAATACTGCCCCCTTTGTTTGCCAACACCCCAGTCCTAGAGACTTGTGTTGATAGTGCCGCACACCCATTTTTGAGCTCTCAAAGCAGGCATCTCCGTCCCCAGACTGGCCTTGCTGCTCCCCGAGGTCCCTCCACCCCTTCCCCTCACTTGCCCTGCTCTGGTGGCTCCCCCATCCACAGCCCTTCTTCCCAGCAAGAGCATGTTTCCCATTGTCTCCCCGCTCCCCAAGGGCCAACTGCTTCTCACTCAGGCCGGTGTCATTTGAGGAGGACCAAAGCCTGTGTGAGCCTTTTTATTTTAAGTACAATGGTGCTTTTTTCCTTACTTCAAAATATTATATACAAATAATGTATGTGACACCTTTTCATATGGAGCTGTTTGAGTATTGCTTCAGGGAGCTCACTAAATCTGCTACAACAATCTTGAGCTCTGGCTCCTCACCCTGTCTGCATGGAAGACCTTGCTGGAAGGTCTCAGGAGAGCAGACATAGACAGCATCAGAAGCCACTGGGAGAAGTGTTTTAGATCTATGTCTGGGTCACAACAGTATTCACTATTTTGTCACTCAGTCCCATGGGCAGTCTCTTCATATATTTCTTACAGTCTGGAGTGTGCTGACTAAATACTGTGTAAGCAAATTGAAATACTCTTTCCCCTTAGGTAGCATCACAGTGTTTATTTTTTTCCTCAGGATTATTTCTATACAATTTCTTCACTGTCAGAGGGGACCGATCTTTCCGTCACTGTGGCAGAGGGCATGCTGTGGATAAAGGAAGAGCTGGTTCTGGGAGAGGGACTCTAACAGTGTTACCTGAAGCTAGAGGTTGAGTGATGGCCTGCCCACTGCAACAGTGGTTGAGGAGGCTGCTAGCTCTTCTGTGCTGGACACCTCTCTGAGCTTCCTGATGGGCTTCTTTTATAGAATTAGTTCCAGTGATCCTCCTGCAGGTCTTTGCTCACAGACATCATGCCTTTCTTTCCCTGCCTTGAGGCACCTTGGCAGAATAATGTGACAATATAATCCCTGCTGAGTCCGGTCCCTGTCAGCTGTTTCAAGACAGTCAAATCAGAGAATTTAGAAAGACAGACTCATGAGTTGCTGGAACTCCTTGGTATTCTTTTAATCCAAGATGGGCCTTTTGCAAGTAGCGTTAGCTCTTTTTAAATAAAGTTTAACTGAGCTAAGTAAGGATGCACTTTGTTATAATCTTGTGGTCATAGTAGGGTCCCAGGCGAGGCCCTCAGTAGGCTCCTTAGTTGCTGCTTTACCTTATGAGGGCCAAAGAGATTAATTGCCACGTTGCCACATCTCAGAAAAGTTGCCATATTTCACCCAGAAGGGGCTTGTTTTCCTCTTATTCTTTCTTTAACCATGTGCCTGGAGGAGCGCTCTGGGCTCTTGCACTTGGCCCACCCTTTCTTTGCCAGAGGCAGGAAAGGGACAGGGAATGGATTCAGTGTGCCAAGGGCCGTGCAAGGGCAGGCCTTCTTTCCACCCATCTGCTGAGGGAGACGTCTTTCTCTTGCTCCTCGCCTCTGTTCATGCTTGTTGTCTTGGAAAAGGATGGTCCCTTTGTCTTAAGGCTTTGTGATAAAATCATCTCCTGTTAGGATTGGTGCCTGTTTCCTTCTTAATAGGGCCTCAAGGCCTTTCTGAAGTTACAGGCAGGAGCCCTCTGATGTGCAGAACATCTGGTAGATTTACCTGCCAGGCTGGGTGGTTCTACTGCTTTCTAGATTTCTAAGAACCTCTTTCTTTTTCTTTTTTAAAGAGTTCTGCAGAATTATTTGACAATAAATGTAAGTACCATGTTACCTTGTGGTGTACGCTCTGTTCTGGTTTCTGTTTTTAAATCAAATGCCTGTTTGGGAGGAGATGAACGTATTTAGTCTATTAGATTTGCGCTGCTGGATTTTGTTTTTTAAAAGTGTAACCTCGACTAGCTGTCTTATTGTTTATCCTGTAAGATTAGTCTATCAATTAAAGTTTGATAATTAATTGTGTCTCCTTTTCCTTCTAATTCTTCATGCGCCTAATCCATGCCGGGGATTGATCAACATTTGGAACTGGGTCCGGAGCCATGTTTGGCAGTTGTGGTATTATTTATTTGGCTTTCAGTATATCCAACTTTATTCTCTGCTGAAAACAGTTGATATTTACTCTGTATTAGTCAAGGTGAGCAACTTGACTGTGAGCCACACTTCTGTTAGGGCAGCCCTCCTTCTTTGCCCTGGCCTTCAAGGCTAGAGAAGGGAAGCTGCCTCCCTGTCCTTACTACACCTGACTGGGTGCCTTGTGTAGCCTCACCTGGCCATTTAGCCTTCAAGGGCAAGTTTGATAAAACACTGAGAATGGGGCTACAGCTTTAGTCACAAGCTACAAAGACCCAAGAACAGGGAGGGAGAAAATCTATTACCAAAAATGGGCCCAAAATGGAATCCTTGGAATGAAGAGTGATGGTTTGTCAGAACTGGTTCTGACCCAGCACCACTCCCACTAGACCTCTTATCCTCTCCCCTCTACTTTGTAAATGTTCTGAAAGTTCTGGTCTCACCTCCCCTTCCTGGCAGGGGGAGGCGGAGTGAGCTCCTTTTTCCATTTTCCCGGTACCTCATAATCCTGAAACAACACTGCCTGATTCTTAAGGATCTGAGAGTTACGTCAGAACTGGGTGGGACTGTGCCACATGCTGCACATTGGCTGAGGCCCACCTAGAGAATCTACCGTCGGTAAAGAGGACACTTTTGGATTTTATCCCAATTCTGAAGGATTATTTCAGGTACCTTAAAACTAATAGGTTGGTTGACTCTCCTCTCTGGAGAATGAGATAAACTCTAGTCTGAGTATCCTACCATACTTGTTGAGGAGGTGTCTGGCATTTTCTCAACTGCAGGTAAGTAACAATCCTTTCTATAACAGGGACCCCATCAACCAGACAGTCCTTAAAGCAAGGGTGATGACTTCTTCCTGTTTTTGCCTGAGAGTTCTGTTTAGCCCAACCATGAGGTTGAGATACTTCACACCCAGGAGACCCCTGCCAACACAGCTTGGCTGCTTTCAGCTGGGATTCTGCCCCCTCTGGCTTTGCCTAGTTTATCAAGGATGTTTTTGTTCTGAAGCCCCGTTAGCCCCTCTTGTTCTCCTGATACAACTTTTCCTCATTCTTTGCCCCATTTTGTAACTCCTAATTTTCAAGTTTCTTGCTTTTGTTTTTACCCTTAGCCTTATCTAATTTAAAATATTCCCCTTTTTAAAGTTTTTCCCTTTTTTGTTTTGAAAATTTTCAAACATACAGAAAGTTGAAACATGTTACAACACCCTTATACCTTTCACCTAGGTTTCCCAATTGTTAAAATGTTAACCACATTTGCTTTTTCTTTAGATACACACACACTTTATTTTGCTGTGACATTTGACCAGTGAATATTTTAGCAGGCATCTCCTTGGAGTGAAGAATGGGTACCTCCTCTGGGACTCTATCCGCCAAGTGCTCATTCTAAACACTCTGCATTCAGGTCCTGTAACATCAGCTCCTTCATGTCTTGCCATGTTCCAGACACTGCACCAAATTTTGTTGTGTGCATTATGTTATCAGCACTGTACCATGTCCCTTCTGTTACTCCCACTTTAGCCACTGGAAGAAATCATAGGCTCAGAGAAGTGACTTAGCGTCACATGCCTGTCAGTGAGCCTACAATTCAGAACCCAGATTTGCCTGATACTTAGGTCCTGGCCTGACATTTGAGAATTTAGGAAAGAATTCAGATACTTTATATTTGCTTTCAAATTGTTTCCTTCCTTGGTTTTGCTATGTGTCTTTTTTTAAATTTTAACATATTTAACACAATTATAATAGCCATATTATTTCTTTTTTTTTTTATTTTTTTTATTTTTTTTTACTTAAGTTTGCGAGATCTGAATAGCCATATTATTTCTACATATAATAAATTGTAAATGAGATTCTTTTCTGTACCATCTTCAAAATCCAGTTCTGTATTTTATACTTACAGCACATCTCAATTTAGACTTTTTTAAAATTTCAAAATACTAAGGGGATACAAATGTGTTTGTTACATGGATAGCTTTTATAATGCTTATGTTAAGACTCTTAGTGTGCCCATCACCCAACCAGTGATCATTTTACCTGTTAGGTAGGTTTCACCCCTCCCCTCCACATCGCCCCTTATTAGGCTATATGTCTTAAGGGCACTAACATATGTCTATGAGTTGCTTTTTTAAACTTTGAATTAAAAAAAACAAAAATAAACTTTGAATTTTGGCTTTTCTTTATTAGCTTTATTAATAAAGTTAATTTTAAATTTAATTGGCTTGGTCAGGCGCGGTGGCTCACACCTGTAATCCTAGCTCTCTGGGAGGCCAAGGCTGGCAGATTGCTCAAGGTCAGGAGTTCGAAACCAGCCTGAGCAAGAGTGAGACCCCGTCTCTACTATAAATAGAAAGAAATTAATTGGCCAACTAATATACATAGAAAAATTAGCCAGGCATGGTGGCGCATGCCTGTAGTCCCAGCTACTTGGGAGGCTGAGGCAGCAGGATCGCTTGAGCCCAGGAGTTTGAGGTTGCTGTAAGCTAGGCTGATGCCATGGCACTCACTCTAGCCTGGGCAACAAAGTGAGACTGTCTCAAAATAATCAATAAATAAAATAAATTTAATTGGCTTTATTGACTATCATTTAAAAAATTAAAACAGTAATACATGCACTTGATAAAGAAATTTCAAGTGATACAGGGCAGTCTCTAAGTTCTTCTGGCTTCTCAACCCTAGCTCTGCCCTATCCCTGAAGGAAGTAGAATTCATGTTAGGCTCAAGTATATAAAAGTCCATCCTGGAGAGGTTAAGTCATTCCCTCTTAAGTTGCTTATCAGAGTGAGGAGTCCTCAGTGGGAAGGAACTCAGCCAGAGGAGGGAACCAGCCCTATGCTGGGGAAGCACCTCACAATCACTGATCCCACTCCCAGCTTGATCCTGTCCCTGAGTTCTTATCTGTCACCTGCTTGGGTATCCTATAAACACCTTGGAGTCAACATGTCCCAAACTGAAATTATATCCTATTCAAATCTGATTGTCCGTTAATCCCTGTTTTAGACAGCAACTCACCCAGTACCACTCATTTCCTTTTTCACCTGATCATTTTCTGCCATTTTTATTCCCAGAATCTCTTTCCATTCTCTCTTTATCCCAGCCTTCAAATCTGCATTTTTCTCATGGGCTTTTCCTGTAACCAATAAGTTCATCCCCTTCAGTCCACCCTTTGTGTAGCTACCAGTGATTGGTCTCAAATACTTATGTCCCTCCCCTGCAGACAGTCTGTGGTGGTACTGCTGACAAGTGCCTTAACCAGACTGTGAGGTCCTCCTTTGTGGCCTGATGCCAGCCACGTCTGCTCTAAGATCTTATTGGCGAGACTTTGATTTCTCTGCCACCATAGGTAGCACACACAAGCCCACCCAACGTAGTTCACGTTTTAGCAATATCCCAAACTGAGCTAGCTCATGGCCCACCTCGTTTCTGCACGTGCTACTGGCCTTGCCTTTTCCCAAGCAGCTACCTCCTATACAGCCTTAGAGATTCTGCTCAGGCTTCACTGCCCATTCAAGCCTTTTCCAGTGTCCTTGGCTTCTGCTGAGCTACTGCCACAGTTTTCACTACTTTTAGACATTACTTCTATTTTCATTTATTGTACATTGTAATTTAGGAAATATTAACAAAAATAAGCTGCATATAGATTTATCTGTCACATCTGGGTAACGATCATTAACATTTTGGAATGTTTTGTAGAAATGGGATTGTACTGTTTGTTTTCACTTGAAATACCAGTCTTTCCATGTCACCATATAAAATTTCTATTCATGCATTTAGGATTGCCATGTCTTATTGATGGATGACCAATCTCATATTGTTGGATATCCAATTATATGTCATTAATATACTAACTTATTATATGTATCATGTTGAATTTTCTCCCAACTTTTTGACAAATTTCAGACAGTTGAAATAGTATAGTGAACACACATACATACATGACCTTATCACCAGTTAACATTTTGCTATTTTTTGATTTTTTTCTGAACCATTTGAAAGTCGCCTGCAGACATCATATTTTACTCCTAAATATTGTTTCCTGAGACTAAGATTATTTTAACCACTGTATATAATACTATTGTTATACCTAAGAAATTTAACATTGTCTTATCACCTAGATACAGTCCAATTGTCCCAAAAATGTCTTTTGTTTTTTTCTCCCAATCCTTTCTAGCTTCACATTTCCCATAAAGTTGTCATATCTCTTTGGTCTCCTTTAATTTAGAAGTTACTCTGTCCTTTTTTCCCCGTGACATTTTTAAAAGTCCAGGTCTTACAGACTATCCTACCTTCTGGATTTGTTTCCTCATAATCAGACTCAGGTTAAACAATTTTGGCAAGAATATCTTGCAAAAATAGTGATATGTCCTTTTTGGTGCTTCACATCAGGAGCAGTACAGGAGGCTGGCTTATGCCTCATTGGTGAGGCCAGTCTGATACTGTCACCTGGAGTGTAATTGCCTCCCTTACTAGAGACCCAGAGACATACTATTTACCTATCTTCTCAGGCCCTGGAGGAGTGCTCAGTGCACAGTGAGTACTTGATTGAGTGAATGAGTGGTGGACTTGCTTTTAGGGGGACACAGAAGACTGAAGGGCTCAACTGGAGATATGAGGGGGAATGGCTGGGACCAGGCCATGACAGGCCTCACAAGCTACCCTCTCACTACAGAATTGCCTGCAACAGATGCACAGATCCTAAAAGGTGTTTTGGGGAGACCACTAAAAATTATATACATATAATTACATTTCTTCTGTTCTCTAATTCACACCTTGGAATGTACATTTGACCAGTTTGCTGCCTACCCATGGTGGCAGAGAAGTCTCTCAAAGTCTCGCCAGTAAGATCTTAGAGCAGAAAGGCTTTTGTTGTTTAAACAACCAGATCCTAATG